GCCTGCGACGGTCCGTCCTGCTGCCCGTCATAGAGTTCAGAGACTCAATTTCTCTGAAGGGTCTGTGACGGTCCGTCCTGCCATTCCGTCACGAAGTTCAGAGAGTCAATTTTCAGTACCCAATTTCAGATTTTCTAAGTGTTTTGAAACGAGACTCTGTGACGGTCTGTCGTGCCCATGAAGGTCCGTCGTGGGGTCCGTCGTTTCTGCCATTTTCTCCAAAATTGAAGTCTGTTGCTCAAAACGACTAAACAGGTCGTTACATATATGTGAGTCATTTATATAACAGCAAGGATACATATGAGTTACTTTCATATAATTAGGGGTATATCAGCTCTAAATATCAAAATAGATAGGTATAGCAACCCCTTTGCACTTTAATTAGTATTTTAATAATAGTTTTTGTGCAAAATGATAAATCTAACTTTGGGCTTAAGCTCTTGTCACTTTTAGTAATACTAGTTTATGGGAACGTACGTTGCACATTTACCTCAAATTACTTGATAAAATATTTGTATTGCAAATAATAAATTTAAATGATACATGTATTATTCGACTTATATATATATATATTACCCCCTAAAGCTCAGCTCTGCGAAGGCCTTTCGGAGATTGACCTTTCTTTCTCTTCTTCCCGGTCTGATCGGTCGAGCTCTCGTAATCGATCACTCATATATATATATATATATATTGTATCAGCTCTTATATTATTGTATTAGTTTGAGAAATTTCTATAATTATAAACTTATAAGGGATAAATGATAATTTTACTGTAAAAGCATGTGATTTCTGTCATTTGTTCTATTAAAAATAGGGTCCCTTTAAAATAACAAAATCCAACTTAAAGTTTAAGTTATAATCATCAAACGTAATATACTTAATATTCATACTACTACTGTATCATCATAATCATCATTCATCATTGGTGACGTATTCACACCAAGTATAGAAGTTTCATCCATCATGCAAAATATTCAATCACTTGTTTCTACTCAAACCTAGTTGCATGATTTTTCTCAAAATGATAATATTTTTTGTGTACATTTAAATATTATACGTAGTTGCTAAATTACGTTATATTTTATTAATGTTTAACTAATCAATATTGTATATAAATTGATGAAAATAAAGAAATCTTGTCAATATTTATATATATATATATATATATATATATATATATATATACACTTTTACAAAAATGAGTTAATCCGACATGGCCTGCTATCAACCTATTAGTGGGTTGGACTGGCTGATTTTTGGCCCACAAAACAAATAGGCGAGTCTAACCTGGCCTGTTAAATTCCAAAGCCTATATAAGCTAAGCCGAATGGGGTGGGCAACTCACATTTACAACTTTGATATAAATCAACTCACGAAAAGTAAAATCGAAAAACTAAGCAAATACTCCATAAAAGTTAAATGATTATAAACATATATAATTTTACATTCATGCCCCACTAAATAATAAAACTATATAACCCCCCCCCCCCCACTAACTAAGTTTGTTTAATTACTCTAATTAGTGTCATATATCGTATGATATCATTAAGGCTGATAATTTCGCTTAATAGTCATATATTGTATTGGTATCATTAAGACTGATAATTTCGCTTAATTGATACTAAATCTGTGTTTGTGTGTATGAGATCAATGAGTAATTTTTCAACAAGAAACCTTGATACCATACAGTATATAATATATATACGTATGCATATCACTAAAACGTTAATGATACCACAACAACATACATATACCCTTATAGTTTTATTAATTAATGGGTAATTTCAAAATAAGAAATCTTGATGATACTATAACAATATACATATACTCTCATAGTATCATTGACTATAAGTATTTTCTGAACAAGAAACCTTAATGATATCAATATGTCACGACCCAAAATCACGAGTCATGATGGAATCTATATTCCCAACCAATAGGTAAGCCAACCAACATATTTTTAACAAACTTAACTAACAAAGAAGTGAAAAGACAACAATTTCCAAATCTCCAACACTGAGTTCTTATAAGTACGAATGCGGAAAACTAAAAAAAAGTACTACCCAAGAAATGGTGTCATGAGTACAAGAGCTTCTAAAATACGATGCAAGTCTGAAACTAAAAGGCAAATCTAACATAAGGGATATCCTGTCTGAATACTAAATAACAGAATAAGTAAAAGATAGAGGGAGGTGTGGGCCACGGAACAGCAAAGCAGCTCACCACAACTCCAAGAACTTCAAGCCGGACTCAATTTGCTCCACGAGATGTGCTCCTACTCGAAATCGAATCTGCACCACAAAGAGTGCAACAAGCGTAGTATGAGTACGAAACCACGTGTACCCAGTATGTCTCATTGACCGACAACGAAGAAGTAGTGACGGGAGTTTATATAAGAAAATAAGTTCTTAAATTATACAAGTATATATATATATATATATATATATATATATATATATATATTACACTCACTATTTAAGTTTCATCAATAAAGGAAATCAACATTTAATATTTTCCAAACACCAAACGAAACATATAGTCATCAAGAATGAATGATGGGATGAAATGCAATGCAATATGATACCATGTAATGATATGTCTCAGAATACCCAGTACTCACTCAACCGTATATACATGATACTCCTCGGAAATACATCGAGAGTTCATGACCCATGGGGGACTCGCGAGGTCCATATACCGACACAGACGATCTCCACGTGTCTGTGCGGACGATCTCAACGCACTATCATAATATCAAACAATTTTCGCACGGACGATCTCCACGTGCCCAAATTACAATCTTAACATCTCACCATCCCCAGCACGGACGATCTCCGCGTGCCCAACTTATACTCAGTCTCATCTCTATGCATGTGCACAATATTGTTTCAATAGAGGGAATGATGATGCATCTCAATCAATCAATATGAATATAATACATAACCACCTCAATTATCTCAACTATACGGGTGAAATAAATAAAACACAATCACACAAGGAATTCAAGTCAATAATATATCAGCTAATGCCCATATGCTTTGGCATTCTCAAATTTCAGTCCACATTCTATAACAGTATTTTTCCTTTTTATAACACCGGTACTCATACCAATGCCCGTCACACCATTGATACGAGACCACCATCTTTCCCCCTTACCCCTTGTCTATTTTCATTTTTTTAATCTTTAATTAGGAAAACGTCCTTCAACAAGTCTAAAAAGTCTTAACATACCTTAGATGCCGAACTTGTGCCACGAATCTTTTAAGAGTTTTCCTTTCCTTTTCGCAAGGTTTCGGAACGTTCCCAATCTACCAATTTTGCAATATTCGTAAGTAAGCAATTTTTGTAGATATTCAAATTATTATATGTCTATCATAGACGCTAAAACCCACTCATATTTTCAACCAACTCCAAATCTTGATATAATTTATATGCCAACTTGTCAAATTTCAAGCCAAGAATTTAACCTTAATTTCTTAAATACACTAAATTTCAATGTTAGATCATATAATATATATCTAATAATTAATTACCTATCTCAATATATCAAAAACTAGTAAATTAATTTTGTAAATAAATAAAATAAGAATAATTTCACCCTAACGATGCACGACATCAGTCGCAAGCAGCCTGCAATTCTCCTCCAATTTGTCATTCTGTACAGGTGACAATTTGGCCTGTTTGTCACATGCCAATCATTGGCAATCATTGCCCAATGATTGGCTCAACATTCTTTCCCATCATTCTTATGCAACAATTAATTATATGGGAGGGAAATTTGCAGATCAAATTCCCAGATTTTCACAATACGTCTAGCGATTAGGATTTTATTAGACTATCACCTAATAACCACACTAACGTCCCTAGAAATTCCAATCCGTGATAATAAATAAATTCTCAACTCACTATACACATCTTACCCATGAAAAAAAAACACCCTTAATAAACAACCTAAGAATATAATAATAACAACAATCTAATGCCCTCTGACAACCTATTTTAATATGTAGAACTGAGAAAGAATGAAACTTTCTTGCGTTTACCTGAGCAATTCTTATTGTTTTTCCTCTCGTTCGTCGCCTACAGTAAGTTTCTGCCTCCACCCCTTTTATTTTCTGAACAAGAGTTTGTTAACCGTGAAACCCCACTAATCTATTATCTATATTACTTATTTAATAAAAGTTTCATCAATTGGGTACTCATAGTTATCTAATAGTTTAAAAATAACTCTTTAAATTTTCAAAAGGAGTCAAACTAGTCCTAGTTCTCAAAACGACCTAGCGGGTCGTTACACAATACTACCTATATACTTATATTAGTATCAGTTTAGTGAAATTATTAGTTTTAATTATATCAATACGAAAATTATCTGCCTTAATGAATGGAGATACGGGCTGTAATTTTTTTGGGGAGAATGGATATTTCTTGAATTATTTTGCATTAGAGTATGAACATATAATTATTTTGAGTTATATAGCTCATTTACTTAGTTTTTTTTTTCGAAAATAAAAGACTAACTAAATATTTAAATATATTATTTTAAAAAAATTAAGTAAAAAGGGGGAAATATCATAAACGGCAGAGTTTGAATATTTTGGACAAATACAGTTTTGGATAAATGATTATAACGTGGTCCATCAGGAATTTTAACTTATGCAGCGGATATGGCTGTTGTTGGCATTAGGCTTAAGTTTTGTCATAAATGATGTATGCAGAAAAGAAAGCCAAAATAACAAAAAAATACGTAAAGACAAAAAGACAAACAAGCATAACAACAATGCCTCTATTCTAGACTTCTTAACGTTACCTGTCAAGTAAGCAATTCTAACTTTAAAAATGTACATTGAGACACCTCAACTTGACACCAACTGTAGAGTAAATATGTCAACTCGTACCTACAATGTCGTATAGGTATCCGATACGTAGTGTAATGACTATGTATATTTTGAAGGTGTTTAGATGTTCATTATTTGTTGGAGTATTTAAGTAATAGTTGAGGTGTCTAGAATATGCATAGTGGAGTGCTTACTTGTCAGTTGAGACCAAGTTTGAGTTGTCTGTTCATGTATTATGCCTTTTCAAGATAAGTATTAGTCATCCATCTTAGGCCATCGATCACATATAAGCCACAGGCTGAGCCAAAATTTGAAGTTTACCTGTTTGATATTGTGCATGTTCAATAGATTTCCTTAGAGAAATATAAAATTCAAATCAAAGCTATTGAATTTCTGTCAAACTCGTAACTTATATTCTAACTCCACCTTTCATGATATATCGTTTGATTCACATGCTAGTTATGCAAAGATTATAATACATAACGATATCAATTATTAATTCATTGCAAGTCAAGAAGGAAAATGGAAATGTTGCTTCTCTTCCTAGTAGCTATACCTATCATTGTAATTTTCCTTGTAAAACTTAGATACACACATAACCATCCACCAAGTCCCCCTGGACTTCCACTTCTTGGAAACTTGTATCAACTGAATCAAGAATCCCCACATAAATACCTATGGGAACTTTCAAAGAAATATGGTCCCTTAATGTTCATGAAGCTTGGCTTTTCCCAACTAGTTGTTATTTCATCTTCAAGAATTGCTAAAGAAGTTCTAAAAACTCATGACTTTGCATTTTCTGGTAGACCATCATTTCTTGGCCAAAGAAAGTTATCATACAACGGCTTGGATGTCGCCTTTTCGCCTTACAACAACTATTGGAGGGAGATGAAAAAGATTTGTACCTTACATCTCTTTAGTCCCAAAAAGGTACAATCTTTCCGTCCAATTCGTGAAGATGAAGTATCCAGGATGATCAATCGCGTAACGCAACTTGCATCATCGTCAAAATTGGTTAATCTAAGTGAGATTATGTCGTCTCTATCGAGCAACATATCGTGTATTGTTGGATTTGGTAAGAGATATGATGAGAAAGGGTATGAAAGTAAGAGGTTTAGCAAACTTTTATGTGAAGCTCAAGCTATGATTGGAGGTTTCTTTCTCTCTGATTACTTCCCAATTTTCGGACGTTGGATTGATTGTATATTCACAAGAAAGGCTAATCGACTCGAAAAGATTTACAATGAGTTAGACTTGTTTTATCAAGAACTCATTGAGGAACACCTTAGTCCAACTCGGCCAAAATCAATGGATGGTGATATTATTGATATGTTAATTGCCTTACGAGATCAAAATCAATCATCGTCGTCTCTGAATCTCACTTGGGATCATATCAAAGCTGTGCTAATGGTTTTCTCACTTCTCAACCTAGTTAGTTATGAGAATTAATCAGAACATTTGATGATACATAGTATACAGAGTTTAACTAAATGTATCGCGATTTTTGCTTTTTTTTTCAGGACATATTTATTGCTGGAACGGACACGAATGCTGCTGCATTAGTGTGGGCGATGACAGCTTTGATGAAAGAGGGGGGAAGCGCGAGGAGAAAATTACAACAAGGCATAAGAGAATTGGTTGGAAAAAAAGGAAGAGTATACGAAGATGATATCCAAAATCTACCGTATCTCAGGGCAGTTATAAAAGAGACATTGAAATTGTATCCACCCGCTCCATTAATACCAAGAGAGACAATGGAAAAATGCATCATAGATGGATATGAAATCAAACAGAATACTCCAGTTTCTATCAACGCGTGGGCAATAGGTAGAGATCCTGAATGTTGGGAAAATCCAGACGAGTTTATTCCTGAGAGATTTTGTGATGTGAACAACAATGGTATTGTCGATTACAAGTCAGGGGAATTTGAAATGATTCCGTTTGGAGGTGGTAGGAGAGGGTGTCCAGGGATTTCACTAGGAGTAGCAACAGTGGAACTCGCGCTCGCCAATCTTCTCTATGCATTTGATTGGGAATTGCCTTATGGGATGGTAAAAGAAGATATTGATATCGATACTTTGCCCGGTATGACCATGCACAAGAAGAATCCTCTATGTCTGGTGGCAAAAAAGTACCTATTACAATAATCGTTAATATAGTCAAGTTTTGTTGGGTTTTGTTTGCCCTGATTTTCTTACCATAAATAGGTTTTCCTTTTAGGAAAAGGTTTAGGACTCTATAAATAGAGGAATGTTCCTTTAAACTTAATCAGCATTCACAATTTAGTATTAAGGGCTTTGAGAGTTTTGGTTAGAGGGAGAATTTGTGGGTCACAAGCTTGATACGTTATGACTTCCCATGTATTCCGAGTGAATTGGTTGAGGTTGTTTCTCTCTGTATTTTGTACTCTCATATTTTATAGTGGATTGCTCATCTCCTTTGTGGTCGTAGGTCGATTGACCGAACCACGTTAAATCTGTGTATCTTTTGGTATATTTCTCATTGTCTTCTTACTCGTGATCTTTTGAGATTTGCGTTGCTAGCTACCTATTACAATAATCGTTAATATAGTCAAGTTTCTCTATAACAACAAAGTGATTTGTTTGAATATTTTACGATTTATATAGCTAGATGTTGTGATAGGAGAACATGTAATAAAATATTTTCACAGACAATGATTGTTATAGAGAAGGTCTATAGCTATCTTCTTTATGTCACAGAATAATTAGTGTACATTCTATTTAGTACTTTGTAAAGAACAAAAATTGTTCTATTGTGTAACCTTTGTTTTATATACTAAGTTTTGTTGGTATAATGGTTGCAGCTTTAATTTGAATCAGAAAAATGCCACTTTACACTTAGAAGACATCTCAGGGATTATAATTAATTTGGATCAGGAAAATGGCACTTTACTCTTAGAATTTACTTAGACATCTCAAGGATTATAATTAATATGGATTAGAAAAATGTGCAAGTGCAATGACTCTTCTCATGATTAGCTTACAAGCATTTCTTGTAACTTCTTTTATTAGATTTGCTAGATGTATTATAAAGTTTTAAAAAAATTAATGTAAATCACCTCAAAATTGTTTTTTTTTTGTTTCTTTAATAAATAATTTCATTAATTCAATAATAGGATTTGAATTAGTGTGGTTGCACAAAAAATTTTGAATTTCATCATTGAGTTATCATCTATATTAAAAACTAATGTACTCGAATACATTTGAGCTTTATTCATATTAGTATTTGAGCCTTCTGAGCTTTATTTATATTAGTGTTATGTTTGTGTATATTTTGTGTGCTAGTAATTATGTTTGTGTGTATATTTTGTGTGCTAGTATTTCTATTTGTGTATATTTGTGTGCTAGTATTTCTCATCAATGATTTAGTATGGATTCTAAATTCTACGACAACAACAATCTTGGTAATTTTTGGATTTGACTTTAGCAAATTTAAGTTAAAATTATTGAGTTTGATTAAACCTGTATTCTAATTTCACCCTAAAATATACCTAAATAAAATATTGCACTCTTGTCTCTCTAAAACAACAGAAAAAGGTTCAAATATACTTTCGAACTTTAAAAAGAATTCGTCTATATCATCCTTTAAAACTTCGATTGCTTCATAACATTTTTATTTAAGAAAAAGTTCATATACTCACTCGTGCTATTATTTGGATTCGTCATTTGCACATTCCTAAGTTAGCTCACATTTTAAGAGGTCAAAAATATTTTTTTTTCTTGAAAAAAATTGTTTCTTGAATTTGCTTTAAATAGAAGTAGGAGCGGGTTTTTCTACATTGAATTTTTCTTTGCTTTTTAAGAAAAGCAGAAGCACAAAATTATTATTTCAAAGACTTAAAATATTTTCTCCATGTATATATATTTATCAATATATTTAATAATGAGCATATATCGTAAGTTTAGTTTATATATTGTTATTTATTATTTTATAATTTATGTATTGAAAAGACAGTCTGAACTTCATAAGGATTAGATTTTTATGATGTTATTTTTGTCTTTTATTCGAGCTATTAAATTTAACATTTGAAGTTATTATCAATAGTAAATTTTACTTTTTATTTGATAAATAAATTGCCCATTTTTATTAATAGACGTTGATTTGATTTAAAATTTTATTATAGATATTCAAAATAGTTTTTTTTTATAAAATAATGTTATTATTAGAAATATATTGATATTTGTGATTTTTTGTAATTTAACTCTTAAAAGTATTTTTAATAAGATAAGATAAATCCAACAGTTTATCTAATTACGTAAAATAGTTATAATTTTGAATAGATATTATACATCTTTCTAGAAATTTACTTTTTATAAAAATTAGATTCTTAACTTAATCAATGAGGAGAATATTTAGTTTATTAACAAGGAAAACATTCCAACAAATCATAGTTATTGTATGTGATTAGAATTTCGTATCAAATATGACTTTTATCAAATAAAGAAAAATAAATTTAATTTCCTAAATAAACGTATCATAAATCTCTATATATATATGCCGAAATCATATAAATTAACAGCCTAAGCACATACGTGTTGATAATATACAAATACAGAAAAAATAATTGTATATAATTTATGAAAAGTATACATATAAGATCTAAAAAAGTAAAAAAAAAAAATCTGTAATAAATATTGTTAAGCTAGACCCATAGAATAGTATACAATAGAATGTGAAATGTATGGATAGAAATACAAATAACAAAAGATATACAAAATAAATTATACAAACTCTTCAATAATACTGAAATTATACAAATAATAGTGGAAACGCATACTTGCTAAAATAACATACAAACACAAAAAACTGTATCTAATTGTAAAATTCTACATTTATAAATATCAATACATTAAATTCATAGAATCGAATACAATATAATGTAAAATGTATTACATAAATACAAATTACAAAAAATTATACAGATAAATTGTACAATATACCTAAATTTCTTCACCATAATTTTGATTCATTGACCCAAATTCATCATCTTCTGCCAAACAGTACCCATATCTAGCAACTCCATAACGTGGGTCCCATTCCTGGCACCACTAAAATTGAAAACTTCAACCAGATGGGGGCATTGAGGAGGAAATTAAGTGGATGCGAAAAAGAAAGAGTTTATAGATTTGTATTAAAAGGAAAAAATTAATTATATATGTTTTAATATAAACGGTTGGGATTCCAGCAGGGGCGGACTAGGTGGAGTCGAGGGATTTATTCGGATTCTTAGTTATTATATATATAATGTAATTTTATGTGTATATATATTAAAATGAATCCCTAAAAACAAGGATAGATTTGACCACCATTGGCAACATATTTTTTCCCCTTTTTTAATGCTTTAGGAAATGGAACTTTTGGGCTTAGAGCCTGTTTGGCTGAGCTTAAAAGCTAGTTAAACTGACTTAAAAGCTTGTTTTTGACTTATTTAGCTGTTTGACAACACTCAAAATAACTTATTTTAAGTTTAAAAAAAACTTATTTTAAATCAAAAGTTGGGGTAGGAGTGCTTTTTTTTTTTTAACTTATAAGTTGTTTTAAGCACATTTTTATCTTTTTGTCCTTAATATTTTTATACAGTCTCCAAATTACCCACATAACTCTAATATCTCTTTCTTCCATTTTTTCCTTTTCACGTTTGGCATAGCAACTTCAGCACTTTTATCCAAACGCATAACTGCTTATTTTAAAAATAAGTTTCAGCACTTTCAAAAATATTTTTTTAAAGCTGTTTTTATTAAGCCCATCCAAACGGGCCCTTAGACCTTCTTCTTCTTTTTCATTATTTTTTTCTTTATGTTAATTTTGTTTCTTTTCCTCTCCAATAAACCTTATTCAATGCTTTTTATTTTCATCTTCATCTCCGTTTATCTCATTTTCACCCCAACACTCTTCTACCATTCCCTAGTTTCTCATCCGGAAAAGAGTTTTGAAAAATATTTTAATTTTGAATGAAATTGTTATTACGATATCAAATTTTAAAGATATATATATATATTCACGTGAACACTATTTATAATTATACAATATGTTTTATATCCATGTAAAAATAAATATACTTTTAAAATGCACTATTAAACAGTGCGGGTAAAAAGTATATTTACAATATTATTTTTTTAACTAATTGAACACAAAAAATATATATGTTTAAAAATTATCATATTCTTATTTAAATATTTTTCAAAGAAATATTTACATCCTAAGTAGATATTTTTTCCCTCGTGCTTCGTTTAAACCACAAAATGAAATTATTATTATTATTTGTAAATTTGAAGATGGCTTTCTTCCTTTCCCATCCATCTTTTTCTTCCCATAATAATTCATTCACCTAAAAACGATTGATGGGCATATCTCAATTCTTCTCCTTCAATCAAAAACAATCCTTTAGATATTTTTCCACTATCGATTCTCTACTTCTCTTAGTCCTCACTCTCACACATGACATGTAAGCCTCTAATTATGATTACCACTTAATATTTTATTTATATCGAATTCAATATTTGAAGATTTTGAATTTTTATAGTAATTTAAAATTAACCTACAATGATAATTGAATTCACGATCAAATATCTATAAATAAATAGTATTTTGTTTCTCCGTACCATAATTTGTTGCTTTAATATTGATTAGTTTAATTTAAATTGTTGATCTAAAATTTAAAATAAGCAAATTTTGAAAGTTTGATCGAACAAGTTACACAAGTATATGAAAATATCTTGATATTTATAGGGAGATACAACCACAAATTTTGGTTTTATGTTAAAGGGAGGTGTATATGTCCCTATCATGTTAAGAGTTTAAATTGGTAGACATAGGACAAGTCATTTGTAACTAAATTTAGTTTTGTAGAACAAATTCTAATCAAAATAATTTGTGTTTTCTTTAGCTGCAAGTTTCTTTTAATTTGTTCTCTATGTTTGTTTGTTGTTTTTATTTCAATTTTTTGAAGTTTTAGATCAACAATTGCAGGGCATATCGGAGGCGGATTCAGAATTTTGAGTTATGAGTTATTGATTAGTCTGAGTAGCCTGGATAAATTATTTTTTAACTCATATATATTGAGTTTTGGTTGAAGTTACTGAGTTTTGTTGAACGCGTAACAAAGTACTTATGGAGTCACAAAGGGGTAGTATGATTGAACATTCATTTGATTGTTACTCAGCAGGTTTTCAAGAATCTCTTGATGAATTGCCTGATTGTTTCACTATAACTGATCCTTACATTTCTGGTAACCCTATTGTGTATGCTTCGCGGGGTTTCTTGGAAATGTTTGGATATTCAAAGTATGAGGTGATTGGGAGGAATGGGAGGATATTTCAGGGGCCTAAGACTGATCGTAGATCGGTTTTGGAGGTTCGTGAGGCGATACGAGAGGAGAGGGATATACAAATTAGTTTGTTGAATTATAGGAAGGATGGGACACCATTTTGGATGTTGTTTCATATGTGTCCTGTTTTCGATGAGAAGGACGGGAGAGTGATTCATTTCTTGGGAGTTCAAGTTCCAATTTTGAGGAGGCCTAAGCCATCTGGAGTTGGACTAAATTTATGCCAAGATGTAGCTGGCTGTCGAGAGTCCGTGCTTAGGTGTTATAGAAGGGAAGTTCACTCCATGAGCGTGGAACGGGCACTGTCTCTGGCATCAGGTTCAGGCTTGGATTTCACAGGTACACTTCGATTGAAGTATATGCTCCTGTAGATATATATATATTATATGTAGACTTTCCTCTCTTGACCACGATCGATTAGGTGAGAAAGGTTATGTGAAGTTTGTGTTTTACATACAGGAACTGTGGTCATAGTACTCATATTGTGCCAGCCATGCAATTCGTACTGCATTAGCATAATTGTTATACACTCTATAAAAAGTGGCTCGATAAGCTCATGTGATTGTCGGGTATTTGCTTAATTATTGAAAACTAGAATGTAGGCTCATCTCTTTGAAGCGTAACTTTGTTTCACGGGAGTGTTGTGAGATAGGAGGATACCTAGCTTCTTTTTCATATATCCTGGTGTATATTCATCCTAGTCTGGTTGCTTAATGTGCAAATGATTGATGTTTTCCACAAACTTGTCTGTCGTAGGAATAGATGTAGAGGGGCCGTGTGATGCAAATGATCTAGAGAAGAGAAAAGCCACTGCTGTTATAAACAACATACTGACTGTGCTGGTACATGACGGTGAATCAACAGGCAGACTAGTCCGTGGAAAGAGACATTCTCAACCTGGGACGGGTCTGCTCGGAGCATCCTTAAATATATCTCTTGGTAGAATCAAACAAAGCTTTGTATTGTGAGTTTTTTTTTGCAGTTCTTCATTTTTCTCATTTTTACAATTGATACGATTCAGTTGTAGACGGTTTTTAACACTTCTGGTGTTGTCTTTCTGTAACTTGTAGAACCGATGCTAACTTACCTGACATGCCAATTGTCTTTGCAAGCGATAACTTTCTGAAATTAACAGGTGGTAAAGATGTAATTAACTTTTAACGCGTTTTTTGTTTGTTTTCAACGTTAAGTTCCCATCCTTGTTTAACTGGAATGATTCTTCCCTTCACTTTTTTATAGGCTTATCAAAAAATGAAGTGTTGGGCTATAACTGTAGATCTTTTAGTGAGAAGGAGACAGATTCAAGCTCACAATTTCGGGTAATTTTCTCTTGTAACTAGCTCTTATTTGCTCAATTTCGATGCCACGTGATCTAAATCCAACTTTTTTACTTCACTCTTTGCAGATAAAAGAATGCATCCAAAATGAACAACCGTGTACACTACGTATGTTAAATTACAGGTAGGTCATGTTCCTGTAAGTTATTTAGATGCAGAATGTTACTTCTCTAGACTCACTGTCTTGTGGCTACGTATTCTCTTTTCAGAAAAGACGGAACCTCATTTAGGCTTCATATCTCACCTGTCCGAAATGCTTCAGGAAAGGTAATATTACTTGGTTGTAATTCGATAAATGTCTTGGCATATCATCAAAATCTTCGAATGGAGATTCTTCTTTTCATATTGATATTCTTCAGTCTCAATGAATGAACTTCATATATTTGCACATTCCTTTTAGACCTCTTTCCTAGTAGAAGCGAGCGTATTTGTGACTTAATTTATGTTCACTTGTTGCATCGATAGGAAAGGAGACAGCGGTCTCAAGAAGAATATTGTTCGTAGTATAAGCCAGTTGAAGCTCTGGAATTCGTAACAGCAAACATTTATTATTTTCTGCTGGATCGTTTTGCTACGTAGAACTACTAATGCTGTTGGCTTTAGGCGCATACTGGCGATTTACTGGAAGAGAAATTCGTTACCAAAAGATGAAGTCATTTGCTGCATATATAGTTAAATAAACGCAGCCTAGACAGACGAAAATATGCACTTAGGCTAGTCTAAATTTCAGCTCTCATCTTGGTATATCTAGTTAAAGGGAGCATTGGTGAAGTTCTCTCCGTGAGATCTCATTCAAGCCGTTGAGTCAGGATAGGTTGTCTATATTACACCCCTTAGAGTGACCCTAAGTGAATGTGGGATACTTTGTGCACTGGACTTCCTTTTTTTTTTCTTGTTATGATATCTTGTCATAATGGTTTCTGATTCTATTCCATTTGGCTCAAAAGGTTGCATACTCCATACAAAACGTTATAATAACGTAGTATCAATTTATATACCATGAATGTTTGCTTGTCGTGATGTTTTTCTGATTCTATCCTCATTTGGCTCGATAGGTTGCATACTTTGTCGCTGTTGAGGGTGAAGATAATAACGAGACCAAGGAAAATCAGGGGTTGAGACAGCGTGGTGTCGTTGCAGCAGTAAAAGTTGCTGTGAGAGGCTTGTCAATGAGTGTGAGAACATGCTAGTTCTTGCACAAACTAGCTCCAGATTTCTTCTGTGCTGTTAGTCGCCACTTCGCCACAAAGTCTCAAAATCACTCCTTTACAGATGTTACTACCTCACTGTTCTTGTTAGCACCAGATGAAATGCATACATAAAAGATTATAAATAAGGTAAATATTTTGTTTATCATCTGTATAAAAAGGTAGTCAAGTAGATATGTAACAAAAATTTTATACAATTTGGAGATGCGATCCCCGTACCTCTCGCATGCTAAGCGAGCGCTCTAGCTACATCCCCTGGTTGTTGTATGTTGTTGGGATTTGTCGATTCCATAGTAACTTTTACTTAGGTTGTCAATTTTTTTCCCCTTGATGGTTGCAATTTCATTCCATCTATGAAATTACACTGAATAAGTTATTGTTCATGGTTGGAATTACATCTCACCAGCATTGTTGTCTTCAAGAAACGTGATGGCGCATTAAAATTTTTGAAATCGTTGATGATTTCCTCACGTGTAACACATGACCTAAATTTGTTTATCCTAAATGCATAGTATTATCTTAAGTCTGCATAATTTCTTCAAAACAATTCCGTTTATTAAACAACTCCGCGTAGGTAGGTTTGCTCTCATTATTGAACGACATGATTAGTGAGGATGCATATGTCCTATTGTAACCTTATCAATTAGGCACAACTGTTTTTAACCTCCTCCTTGTGTTTTGACTCAAATCCATCAACAATATAAATGAATTGTGCACTATCAAGTCAACTTTACATAATGATTTACTTGATGTTAAGATTATGAATCTTACTTTTCATGAAGGATTATTTGGAAGTGTCATTTTGGTAACAAGAGACACTTAACATTAGCTCACAATTCCATCTTCCATAAGTGTAATGAGAACCAAAATTGTGAACAAACAAGAACGAAAACCTGGAAAAGAAGGACGACGAAAAAGAACAATGTAGTCATGACCCTTCAATTAGGAAGGGCAAGAACTTTTTCAAGAGATATGTAAACAAACCAACTGAATATATAGATAGACCAAAAGTACCAAAGGATTTCAACTTTCTTTTACTAAAACGATGATCGAGTTTTAACTCAGACATCTTTGTATCACCAGGTAACGAACCTGTACTGGATAGTAGTCAAAGAAAGGTGTGGAAAGGACTACAAAATTTTACATGGAACCCAAGACTAAGTGATCAAATAATTGTCAAGAAGCAACCATCGCCGCTTGGTAGAGCTTCCAAGAGAGTAAAATTTGAAGTCCCTTAACCACAAAGAATCTGTTGATCTTTCACATTCGGAAGTAACTTTGTAGGGACATGCTCTTACGTAACAATGAAAAGATTGTTTTCGTGTCCATCGCTGTGAACAATAGGCCTCAAAGGATCAATCTTCCATATGCCATCAACAACGAACTTGATCTGCATGAAAATAAATGAGACGCTTGGTACATCACAGGATAACACAGTATGATATCAAATTCATTGCGATCATTAAAACCTACCTCATATCTGCCTGGATACAGCTTTAGGCTTACAGAAAAAACACCCGTGCTCGATTTTTCCATCTTTCTCTGCATTTCAATGCATCGTGTCATGCTGCTAGTCAATGTCAAGAAACTCCTTGAAATCAACATCAAGAAGGTCGTACAAGGCCTTTAGGGGAAAGGGAAAATAGAGATGTGCAGTTTTCATTATTAAGAGACCACCGAGACATCATTGTTCAAGACATTTGATGCTTTAGAAACAACCTTAGTAAAAATGTAAAATCGACTTGATGGCGCACACAAAACCGGTTCCTCTCCTAATTTCCATGTGACTTTCTGGAAATCAAAGGAAAAACACTTTGTATGCCATCCCATAAAGTTCTAAGCAAGGATTGAAGAAGTGCAACTTGACTATGAAATCTCCATGTCACTAACACTCTGTATCTGATTTGGATTAGTAAGTTGAGAAAATCCTGAGTTTTCCTATCTATCGTTTCATTTATTGTGTCATAATTTGTGTGTAACGAAGTTTAAGAATGTAAGAAAGACTTTTGAAACTTGTGGTCTTAAATAAAGGTCTATATAAGATATCAAAGTTACCCCTTAAATCTTGTGGTCTTAAATATACCATGTTATTCCTATGAAGGAATATTACTAAAGGTAAAATGGGAATGATCGAAAAAGAAAAAACATACTAGTTAGAAAGAGGTGGCACTTTGAAATAAACTAAAAAAGAAAGTAAGACATATTGATTGAAACGGAGGGATTATATTCAAGTTCTAAATATTCTTCCGTTCTCTTAAAAAGTGATCAGATACTGTTGTGATTAGATCCATAGTCTTCTTGCAAACCCTTTTTGGATCCCAACACAAACGAAATAAAAGAGGGAATAAATTATTGTGAAGGCAATAAGCAGTCGAGCCAGAAAAGCATATTGCACTGGATATTAATTGGGTGTACCCCCTAAAGGAGAATCTTTTAACTTTCCTGCTCTAGCCAATCATGACTGAGTTGTGAACTTCTCTCACATTGTCCACAAGAAAAGCTAGATGTTGACTCTATAGGTGACACTTCTACACTAAACCAAGCAGAAGGACGTCCTGACAGTAATCATTGGTAACACATCATCTTCATCTAAAACAACAAAAAGAAGATTAAGTTGGTCTGGACGATCACATTACGAAACTATGCTTGACGTTTTGACAGTAAAGAGGTGTCTCCTATTTCCTATCATTGATGTGGAGGCAAGATGAAACCTGAGTTGTCCATCCATCAAAAGAACCTGCTAGAAGAACCTCTGAGGCGGAGTTGGTCCAAACAATCCGAGCAGTACGAAGAAGCTGCAAAGCTTTACTAGACCTATCAATCATCTTCTGCTTCTCGTCTAACATCTTCTGCGCATCACTGAAATTGTACAGTAGGAACCTCAGTTTTGGTTAAGATATCTAGTCTAAAGTATATATATATTAAGATGAATGATACATGACCAGACATCATTGCAAGAGTCATTTTCCCCTCAAGCACAGCCAGCTTTGCACGAATCAACCTCAATCTCTCCCGGGCATTCATGAATTCATTCTCTTGAAACTCCCATGCATCAGAATCACTTGGGGAGCTTCCGAAAACCTAAGGAAGAAGCCGTGAAGTTACATAAGAATACTAGCACTATCCCATTAAACAATACTCCCTTTCTCCCGATTCTTTTTCTTTTTTTTTTAATCTATTTTAATAAGAATGACTACCTTTCTATATTTAGAAACAATTAACTTTAAACCTCTTATTTATCTTTAGTGAGATGATTTATTGTCACAAAACTATCTATGGTTTATTTTAAGACCAAAAGTTTCAAAAATCGTTTTTCTTTCTTTAACTATGTGCTGAGACGAACACCCTAACATGAATTGGGACGATAGGAGTTAATAGTTAGCAGAACTTTGTTACCAATTGAGATGCCTATATAGTAAACATCTAAGCATTTTTTTTTAGGCATAATCATTGAAGAAAATATTTTGTAAATAGTTCCCTTAAGGCATAGACTTCGAAAGAGATTTTGGGTCGTGGTAGTCAATTCGAGTTCCCCGAAGAAGGAAGAGCACTTGATTACTTCCGTAGTACAGTTGGTAAGACTCAAACAGACTATTTTCTCCTTAGGAAGGGTGATTAAGGTTTTTCTAACAACTGTAAGTTTATCCCAAGTAAGAATCTTATGACCCAACATCAACTCCTGGTGATGAATTTGGAGATCAAGAGGGAGAGGAGGAAGAAGGTTGGGGATAATCGGTTAAGGATTAAATGGGTTAGCTTGACTATGACAAGTGCCCTAGAGATGGGGAAAAAGTTGATGGCTATGGGGTCTTGGGGAATAGTGCGAATGTGGACAGTATGTGGGATAGGACTGCTAGGGAAGTAACTAGAGATCTGTTGGGGATCTCGAGAGGCTGATTTAGTGGGCATCGAGTGAACTAGTGGTGGAATGGAGAAGTCCAACGGAAGGTGAGTATGTGAAATTGGTGGAGGGTAAAAGCACACAAATAAGAGAGGTGTAAGAAGGCGAGGAAGGAAGCAAAGTAGCATTCAATGCAGCAAAAATGACAGATTTTAAATGTTTGTACGTAGAATTAAAGGACAAGGGAGGGGATAAGAAGTTGTACATGCTAGCCAAGAGGAAAGAAAGGAGGGCCCGTGACCTGAACCAAGTGAAGTGCATAAGCACTAGGACGTTGAAGTACTGGCGGAGGAGGCACTCATTAGAAGGAGAAGAAAGTCATACTTCCATAGACTTTTGAACAAAGATGGAAATAGAGGAATTGTGCTAGGAGATTTGGAGCACTCAGAGATGCGCCGCAATTATGAGTATTGTAGGCGTATAAAGGTTAAGGAGGTTAATGGTGTTATTCCTAGGATATGTAGGGATAGAGCGACCAGGCCAAATGATATCCCAGTGAAATTTTGGAAGACCGCAAGCAGGGAAGCATGGAGTGCATGAGTTATTTAATGTCGTTTTCAAGACGATGAAGATGTCCAAGGAATGGAGATGGAGTACAATGATTTTGTTGTATAAGAGTAAGGGTGACATTCAAAATTGCAACAACTATAGGGTATTTAGTTGTTAAGCCTCACTATGAAGGTCTTGGAGAGGGTGGTGGAGTTGAGGGTGAGGAGGGCGTGGATTTTTCTGAGAACCAGTTTAGATTTATTTTAGAACGCTCAACTATAGAAGTCATTAATCTCGTAAGAAGACTGGTGTAGTAGTATAAGAAAAAGTAGGACTTACACTTAGTGTTCATCGACTATGTAAAGGTGTACGAGAATTCCAAAGGGAGGTCCTATGCGTTGCCGTGAGGCAAGAGGTGTACTTCTGGTGTACACTTGGGCAATGTGGGATGGAGGCAAGGTGTGGGTAAAGACTGTGGAAAGGAACTCAAAACATGTTCCAGTTTTGATAGGGTTGCAGCAGGGATTAGTCCTTAGCCCGTTTTATTTACCTAGGTGATGGATACAATAACAAGACAAATTCTAGGAGAGGTGTCATAGTATATGTTATTTGCGATGACATAGTTCTGATTGACGAGACACGTGGTGAAAGTTAAGGTTAACTTGGAGGTTTGGAGACAAACCCTGGAATCTAAAAGGTTCAGGTTGAGTACGACCAAGATAGAATACTTGGAGCGCAAGTTCAGCGATGTACAACATGAGACAAACATGAGGGTGAGGCTTGAAACACAGGCAAGAGAGGAAATTTCAAGTATCTTGGGCCTATTATCTAAAGAAATAGAGAGATTGACAAGCATGTCAATCACCATATTGGTGCAGGGTAGATGAAGTGGAGGCTCTACTTTGTAATGTTGTGTGATAAGAAAGTACTATCAAAACTTAAAGGCACGTTCTACAGAGTGGTGGTTAGACCAACTATGTTGTATGGGGAAGAGTATTGACCAGTCAAGAACTCTCAGTTCAGAAAATGAAAGTTGCGGATATAAGGACATTGCGATGGATCTGTGTGCATACTAGGAGACATAAAATTAGAAACAAAGATATCTGAGACAAGGTGGGAGTGACTTTAGTGGAGGAAAATGTGGGAAGCTAGGCTAAGATGGTTTGGGCATGTGAAAGAAGAGATGCACTGATGCCCACTGTGAAGGTGTGAGAGGTAGGCTCTAGATGGTTTCAAGAGAGACAGAAGTAGACCAAAGAAGTATTGGGGTGAAGTGATTTGATGCGACATAATGCAGTTTTAGCTTACCCAAGACATGACCTTATAGGAGGGTGGGGAGGACTCAGATTAGGATAGTAGGTTAGTAGGTAGCAGTGTGTTGTCTTGTTGTTCATTCATATTAGTAGTCATATGGTTCCTGTAGTTTCTTCTCTCCAATTTTTGTTATTATCTGTATCATCCTTGTACCTCGATTATGGTATTGTTCTAGTGTAGTCTTTGTTATGTTATTATTTGTTGATCTTGTACTTCCATTACTTCTTTTTTTTAGACTGCTTTGAACGATTTTCCCTTGAGTCGAGGGTCTATCAGTACTAGCACCCTACCTTTGAAGTAGGGGTAAGGTATGCATAAACTCTACCCTCCCTAGAGCCCACTTTGTAGGACTATATTGGGTAAGTTGTTTGTTGTAATTTCGTTTAGGCCCTTTGTCCTTTTCACTTTTTTTATTATTACATAATTGTGTTATTACCACATCAAAAAGTTTAAATTACTAGGAAGGAACACTTGTATTTACTTAATTATGTATTAACACATCCTTTCACACATAGACCTAATTCATTTTCCCGAGTCAAGCACTTGGAAATACTTTTTGTTAATGGCAGGAAGTAGGACTTGAATCCAAGACCACTACCTGCTCTGGCTCGGATACCATGAGATTGTGAACCTCATATTGAGGGGATACTTACTTTATTTAACATTAATGTCTTTAACAGTTTTATTTTCAGCTTTTCTATGGGAAAGGGTGTGAAGTCGAAAGAAGCAATTTTATGCATTGAATTTAAATTCCTAATAGAACTTTTGGGGAGGTTGATGTGCTAAAAGGCAATAGGAAATGTGATATAAAAGTTTAGCTTGACAAGAAATTATGTAATGTTCACAAACAAATCATGGTAAAGAAATTATCGAGAATTTCCCTGTTGACATCTATTCAACAAAATAAAGAAACAATTCCTTTTGGTGGAATAATTGCATCCAGGGAAACACAGCTAAACTAATCCATTATTTTACATAAGAAAGATATTAATATATGATGCTAGGGGAAATAAAAGATACAGATTTTTACCTATCTGTCCAAGCCTTGTTGGACAGTGTTACCCGATACTGTGCTGGCGGGAGGTAACATGTATCCCGTAAAATTAGGTGAAGTGCGCGCAAGTTGGCTCAGACACCGCAGTTATTAAGAAAAACAGAAGACACAGATTAATACCTCCTTTGAACTGAACTCCTCACTCTTGGATTTCAATGAGCGGAGTGTCATGGATAGCTCAAGCTCTAAATGTTTAAGACGAGTGCTCATCTCATTATTGTTGCCATTTTTTGATCTTTGTAAAGCTTCAAATCTACTCGCAGTGATATTAACTACATCATCTCCCGAAGCTTCGCTGGTACTTCCAATCCAACTTTTACCCAGAGCAACCTCAGCAGCTGTTCATAGCAGTAGTGAAGCAAGGTTACAATCTATAAACATAATTAGACACAATAATGAGAATACCTTCAAAATCTATATCCTGAAGGCCTGCACGTTGTATGCTCCATTTTCTCAACCTGGCCGGTGAAACGCTACGGTAAATCTCCTCGTCACTTTGAATGTCTTTCATGGAGCTACCTTTACTCAGGCTTTCATTTTTCCGTAGGTCAGTCCTGTCTTTTACAGTGACAGAAATGACATCTCATGATTAAGAATTAACTGTTTACAAACAAAATACTCAGGAATAAATATTTCTAGTTCAGAAACTTAGGGAAAACAATTTCAGGTTCAAAGAAATATTAAAGATATCTACGACATAGTACACAAAGGCTATAATGATTAAACAGCAAATCAATGCTGTAAAAAGAAGATTATTCAACCATTTTTTTGATAACATGTCATCCTGCTTCCTGATTAAAAATTTACCTGCATCAGAGGTTCCAAAGCTTCTGTCATCTATGTTGTCCCTACTTGATGTATGAGAAGTATGTCCAGGCTTTCCCAGATCAATACCAAGAGATGAGTTCCTCTCTTTTTCTAATCGACTCAATATCCCTTCGATCCCGCTATTTTCCTCTGCTACAGTTTCTCTGTTGAGAAAGGAAAGTAAAGAAGATACCAATGAATGAAGGAGAGTAAATAGGAGGAGATAATCATTTAGAGACATGCTTCCTTGTTTCTTATTTTTAAGATTTTCGGTCATCCTGAGTATTGTCTTTGTGTACTCTTGTCACTAATAGTACTGACTACTGAGCTACCAAGTTAGACTTTACTTCACTCTCTAATCCCATCTACATTTTTCTATTGAGTTGGTTAATTGTAACTATAACTACACCATTTACCAAGTCTCTGGTTATATCCCTGTCAAACAAACAACCTTCGGAGCTTGGTGGGAGTAGTGAAATTAAGGAAGGAAAGCTTTTATTTTTGTTTACATGTTGAAGGCAAGTGTTAAGACAGTGACTAATGGCGAAAGTTGAGTCGGATAAGAATCACATATATCAAGATAAGATTTAGTAAAATTGCAAAATGGCAGAACAAGCACAATTCTGTATCCACAATATCAAACATAACATAAAAGCTAAGCATCATGTATCCAAAGTCTACTTGCCAACTTATCCGGATTCACGTGGGAAAGGTCCATACCAAAAGCAAAACAATAATAATAACTAAAAGAAAGCACATTTCGGTGTAAGGAACCTCACATCGATCTACCAGAGGACGAGGCGGGCTGAGAAGAACTAGAATCTCCAGAACCAGAAAAATGAGCTTCATTCTCATGTAATAAATCACTCTCTTGACATCTTTTGACTCTTTCATGAAACTCCTCAATGTCAAAATTCATTTCCACACTCTCAACCTCATTAACATTAACATTCACAGTGTTAGTGTCATCATCCTCAGAGTCCCAACCAAACGAAAACCATCCTCCTCTTTTCTTTATAGCTTCCACCAAATCCACTCTTCCAGCTTTTTCCAATTCTTTCCTTGTTGGAAAAACATTTGGGTTCTCAGATATCTCCATGAAAGCCAAAATTTCCTCTTCCAACTCCATATCCCCTTCACTTCCCAACCCTTTCCTACACAAGCAATATGAACTATCCCCAACTCTTTTCTTACTAAGCTTCTTGAAAACCTGAAAAGACCCCATATTTTTTCCCAATACAAGATTAAAAATGGCAGCTTTTCTTCTGCAATGAAGTCTTTTTGGGGAATTTATGACTATTGGAGTTGGAATAGGTGAAAAACTCAAATGGGTCGGTGTCAAAATGAGTGAAACCATCGTTCAGGCATTTCTTCAAACAGTTGGTGGCCACCTCAAGAAATAATTATACTGTTGTGAAGCAATGACAATGCACTGGGATTCTGAATTTACTTTAATTAATACTTTTATACGCATCGAATGAGTATGAATACAGTAATGTAATTCACACACTTCTACAGGCTTTTTGTTGGCGAGTCGCTTTGTGTCTCTAGCCCCTGTTTTCAAGATTTGGTTTTGTCCATTTAAGGCCAATGGAGAAGAAGAATTGAAAAAACACATATTCTTATCCATGTAGACGGTATGTTATAATGTGAAATCATAATATAATATTTTTTGTATTGAGTATAAAATAAATATTTTAAAATTAATTTGATAATAAATATAAAAATATGTCATTTTCTTTTTAATGAAACTCGAATTTTCAATTTGATTATAACGTCATAGTGATTCGTTAAAATACTTAATTTTCTATTACATCATGAAAATTCATAAATCTATTTCTATTCTAGTCATTCAAATTGAATTTATCATGAAAATTCATAGATTTATTTCAATTCTAGTTATTCAAGTTAGGTTTATAATGAAAATTCGCAGATCTATTCAATTATAGTCATTCAAGTTAGGTTGTGCAATAATTTTTCTAAATCCAATATTGAATTGATAATAGATCTATATAAAGATGATATTCATATAAGAAAATATTTTTAAAAATTTATTGCACAAGTTAAAAATTTGAAATCAAACGTAAAATTTATATCGTACTGCAATAGTCAAAAGTTTGGAATAGAAAATATTTATTGAACCAAAACATTAGAAAAACGAGTTGAGATTAAATTGGGGTTAATTTTGAATTTTAAGGAAAAAATATTTAAATATTTAATTTAAAAAATTTGAATTATAAAATAATATAGAAAAAGTGACATTAATTATAGTTCATATCAAAGCTTCAAATATATTATTTGAAATCCTACAAACATTAGCATTTGTAATTTATAATTAAAAGAGAAAAATATCCCACTTTAACTGTCTATGCACTTAACTTACAACACTGTTTAATTATCTATGCACTTAATTTATAAATTAATGCTTTTATTTTTATAACTATTTATTATTCATTATATTTATTTATTCAATACAAATAAATTAAAATAAACATTTGTTTTACTAAAAGCTCAACAATAATATTTCATTAGCTTATATTACAGGTCAATGTCATCATACAAAATAAAAAATATATTTTATTTGTAAAATGCAAATAATTGTGTACTATAATAATATTAATAATCTAATATAATTAAATACAAAAATTACTTTAGTATTAATTGTGTAACAAATGGGTCTACATTTACAAAAGCGAGCCATCTCTTACTTCCTCTATCCGGTCCCCGTTGAGTACTCATGTCTTCCCCCTTCTTGATTGGAACAATCGTTAGTTGGAACAATCGTTAGGTTTCCTCCGCCCCGTCCATCTTGGACGTGACTTTGGTATTCCCTAATCCTATTAAACGCGGAATTGGTCGCGGGGCAATCTTTTTTTTTAGCTTCTGTTTCCTTTTTTATCTCCTCGATAAGCTCAAATTGGTTGTCACATTGAAATCTGCAACTCTTTGGCCATCCCCGAGATCGTTTTATATTTGAAAGAATAAGTTCCTCCTTTCTTTCGTCTAGGGCTGATTTGCCACGGGAGCCGGAAGCATCAGAGTGGGGAATTTCAACGGCATACGAGGGGGCGTTGGGTATATTTCCTCAAATTCGTAAATGAATCAAATTACCTCATCGAGAAAAAGGAGAAGAAAAATGTAAAATATTATAAATACAAATTTTTTTAAAAAAATTATTATTATTATAGAGAAAGAGAGAAAAAAAAAAAGAGAAAAGATGGAGTATTATATTTTTGGCAATTAAAACTAACATTTTATTACCAATGTAGCAGATCTGGTCTTAGTCTAAACAAATTGTGATGGTATGACATTCATATAGCAACAAACCAAAAAACTAGACATCAAAAATTTATGTGCTAATGGTATTTTGAAGCTAACTATGGATAGATATTAAGGTTATTTAGATTTCTAGCAAGTTTCTTGTCGAAAAGTTCGATCACTTTGATAAATAACATAAAAATTTGTGATCAATAAATCTAGATAAAGAATACTACTATTAATTTAATTTAGCTACTTTATGCCTAAATAAGATAGGAATTTTATTGTCCAAATATGTTATTCTTTCTAGTATCTTGTCAATCAAGAGTTGCATCGAGTAATTAGGTCAAATACATAAGCAGATCCTTAAACTTGTTGGGTTTTTTCTCTTAGGTACCTCAACTACGTTATTTTTCTATTGGATCATTGAATCCCCATAATTTATTTCGTTTAAACAAACACCGTTGTCTGATGTGGAACCAGATTTATGAGGGGCATTGATAGAATATACATATGTTGTTCCACAACTCATTAGTCCAATTAATAGTGAAAATGTTCAAGAATAATTGTGTTTTACTTAAGTCATTTGAGCACATTAGAAAAAAAATGAAACTAACACGATTTGTCTTCATTCCTTCAATCATAATTATTACAATTCGAACACAATTGAAGACATTTACAATAGAAAAGCCGATTAAAATCAACCAACAGTGTTTTAAAGGAATAAATTATGGGTGGTTCAATGATTCAATAGAAAAATAACGTAGTTGAGGTACCCGAGAAAAAAAATGCAACAAGTTTAGGGATCTGTTTATGTATTTGACCGAGTAATTAATAGTCGTTTAGTACTAAAGAGGCATACCACTACCTAAGTACCTAAAAGACATCTCACCTCTAGTAAAACCAAAAATATTCAAGATAGTTATTTGACTTGTGACATTCACCCCTCTAAAATATTATTTAACTTTTTTGTCATAATTTGCAATCAAACCCGAAACATGAGAAAATTATTGAAAACAGTCAAACAACAATTCTACAGATTATTGTTAAAAATAGTCGAACAACAATTGTACAAATCTTATGTCGCCATTGTAAAATAATAGTAATTAAATGAATTTTAACTTTGAGCATGTTGGTAAAGTTTAAAGAGAAAAGAGACAGTTTGAGGGCACTTCATTATACCGTGTATGAATTTTGTAGGAAAATTTAGATGTAATTACTTGCTTTACAAATAGAAAATAATAGGCTTAAAACATTTTATTATTTCTTCAAATATACCATGAATAAGAGCTAACTATGTTCCAAAGTAATTAATTCTAACTTTTCAATAAAAGTATATAAATATACACTTATGAGTTGTTTGTAGCTATTTAATGTTATATAAATATTGATAATGTAGAAATTAAGAAAAAGAATACATGTATTCAAAAAGAGATATTATTTACAAGTGAATAAAACAAAGGAAAAATAACTTAAATACATAACTATAAGTTTATTATTCTCTAATTTTCCTTTTTTTTTAAAAAATTACATAATTCTTTTTTTAATTTTAATAGAAATTTAGAGATACATAACATTCTCCCTCCTTCTCGAATATTATGTCTATTTTTTTACTCTAACACACTCAATCTTTTGAATCACTTTTTGAATTTTAAATTATTACTTCTAATCAAACACGTTTCACAATATTTATTATGCAATTTTGAATTTCAAAATTCAAAAATCTGAAATTTCTGAAAATTGGAACTACCATTGTTCTCTGGTTCTTCTTCTTCTTCTTACTCCATCATCCGTTGTTCTTTTGTTCTTCTTTTCTTCTTGTTCATCGTTATATTACATCATATTAATGGATCTTTTTACACATAGGAGGATTTATGATTCTAACGATGAAAATTGGAAAAAAAATAGAAAAAAGTGATTGCATGATCCTTTGAATGTTCGGAAGAATTCAAACAAAGATATTCCGGAATCTTCTAAATCAAGGGTTGCAAAAATACACACACACAAAAAAAGAGAAAAACATCAGCAACCATTATTGTCAAGCCGACATTGCTTCGGGTATGTCTTTTTTATATTTATTTTAAAATTATTTTTAAAGTTATAGTACGTTTGATACATATCGTTATAGTGTGTTATAGTGTTTATTCGATTTCATGATACATAAATTAATTGCGTGTCAGATGATTTTCTATGTAGCACGAGTATTTGAAAATTGTTATCATGTATCAGACAATAAGTTTAATACATATCGACTTAGTGTGTTATAGTGTTTAGTCGATGCATTGATACATGAATTAGATGTGTATCATATATTTTTTATGTATTATGAATTTTTGAAAATTGATATCATGTATCAGTAAGGCATTAGTTGTTTATTTAGTATTAGTTGTTTTATTTAGTATTTATTTTCAATATCGTTAAAAAAAAATTCAAATTGCAGCCACTCAAGTACAAATAAAAAAGATACCAACACATCTCATAAGGTTTGCTGCCAATTTTAACTACACTTTTCTGAAGGATTTTGAACAATATATAGGAGAGAATGTAATCCAACTGTTTAGGGATACAATTTTTGGACCCTTTTTAGATATTACTAAATGTAATTTTCAGGCCCAAAATCACTAAGTGCTTGCTATTGTTAGAGTTGGAACAAGACAACCCTAATGTGTTGCATATTAGACATTCAAATGGGTGTATTCTGAAATTTGGTATAGATGAATTTGCAATATTAATCGGACTTAAAGTCAAAGGCTATACAAATGATTTTCAATACCCAGAATCAACTAATTGTATGTTATTCCAAAAGTATTTTCCTGGTGCAGTTAATAGTGTTATCAAGTATCAACTAGTTTAACGATTTAAGATGGGTAACTGGAGAATGATCAGGATGCACTCCAAATGTCTATATTGTTCTTTATTCATACATTCGTATTGGCTACTCTTGTTAATACAGCTACATCCATTGTGAATTTTCTAATGGTAGATATCAAGATTATCCTTGGGGTCAGTTATCATTCTCAGAACTCATCAATTAACTTAGACAGGATTTTGATGTTAGCAAAAAATTGTATCGATTATATGGGTTGGCCTATGCACTTAACATATGGATATCGAATGTGCATTCCAGTTAAATCCTGAAATTGTTGTCAAAGAACGAAATGTCATTCCAAGAATGTGCAATTGGATAGTTGTCTCTGATAAGACAAAGTTTGAAATGCTTATGTCTACCATTTTTCAAGAGGTAAAATTGAATCAATTTTTACTGTTAGAATAAACTATTTCAAGTTTGTCTATATAATATCGTTATTTATGTCTTGTGATATGTCTTAACTATTTAATGTGTTTTGATACATATGTATTGTATTAACATTTAAATTATTTTATGTGTTGTAATACATTCAGAATGCATGTCAAACATTGTCCCAACAGCAGAGGAACTTGAAGGTTTTGACCTAGTTGAAGTTGAACATGCTCCTCCTTCTTCACCACCCTTAGTACAACCGAATGAGGAAGATGATTTTGATAATTTCTCCACCATACCTCCCGAACAGTTATTGAGGAGATCTTCTAGAGTGTCTGATACATCTCCTCCACCACCCCCAAAAAGAAGAAAAAAAGTGGTTATACATAAAAAAAAATAATTCAGAATCGAGTTAGTCTGATCAATCAAATGTGTCTCCGACACCTGATGTACATGTTTCTATTTTAGATCTGCCTCCGACTTTGGCTGCTGATGTACATGATTCTATTCCAGACATGTCTCCGAATCCGATTGCTGATGTACATGGTTCTGCAGATTCTCAGAAAGTCAACTATGTAATTCCAGACATTGAAGAGTTGAAAGGATATTTGAAAAATTATGTAAATTAATTATTTTGATATTTTTAATCAAATGTAATTTATTTTTATCCTAAATGTATTTATAATTTACAGGTTGACAAGAAATTTGAGGAACTGACTATATTGATAAAGGAAAATCACTCCTAGTTAATGCAATCTCGAGGCAAGGAAAACATCAATAATGAGGCTAATACAAGCACATTTCTTGAGAAACAAACATCTCCACAAATACAGATACAATTTTCCATTTTTATACTCAACAAGTTTGCATTCAGTTTACTTATACACAACTTTCTTCTTCATTTTTTAGGGTGATCTTTCTGATATAGGTGGTGTAGCTGAGGATGGTGTTGGTGTTTCTGGTAATTATGGTGAACATCAAGTCACCAAAGATGCGGGGGATGTCGTTGAGGATGTTGTTGGTGTTTCTGTTAACGAGGGTGAACAACAAGTCAATGCTACTCCAAAGGTATGTTTTACAATACATTGTATACGATTTGTCATTTGGTTGATGTCATGTATCATGCACATATACTCATTGTTATGTATCATGTGAGTATAATCACTGTTACGTATCAGCACAAATTATATTAACACTTTCTACATAAAAACTGCAAATTCAGGATGGTGACGCACATCAATCATACCAAGATTTAAATGAACCTATCATGGAGCAAGATGGTGATAACAATGTTTAACACAACATTCCTTACGTTTTACCCGATAAAACAACAATGGATGCATAATGTAGATTTTTCAATTTTGCTTTATGACACACAATTTCATTACACACCAATTTACTTAAAAAATTATTACAACATATTATACAGGAATATTCCACTTCAACAACAATATCACCATCAACTCAAGCAACAATGGATGTACTTATCAAAGATTTGAGAAAAGATCCTACTAATGCTAGACCATTGTATTCTTACAATCCACAGAATATAACTAGCTGGCAGTACTTGTTGACCGTAGTCAATTACCATGACATTCCAATAACTAAGATTGGAGTTAGAACTGATTCAGTCACTCCTGCTCATAGAAACAGAATGCCTTCGAGAAATATCCAATCTCTATATTGTACTTCTTTTGGGTCAAGCGAGAAGGGAAAAGAGAAATTGAAAGATATGACTCGTCTCCATTTTTCATTCGAAGGATATGACATTACAGATCAAGTTTCTCTGAAACTTATTGGAGATTATATGAATTGGTTGTCAAGGAAGCTCCTAAAAAATCATAACAATAAGCAAGTTTTATACAATTTTTTTGCAAGTGTTTGTGTTAATTATTTTTGATATAACTTATTCGTGATACTTTGTTTACATTTTTTGTAATTAAATCACTGTTATGTATCACGTACATATACTCAAACATTATATACCATGTATGCAAGAACCCATCAGACAATAAATACAGATCAAAATATTCTTCTTTTGGATTACAATGATGGACTTTGTTGTTGCTTTTCCAATGAATAAGAATTGGTTCTATGCCATGTCACAGCCAAGCAAATGTGGGATTGATGAGGTAAAATTCTTAAACTAATTATCAAATGCGTATGAGTTACACTTATATTATTATAACATGATACATTCTGTAAAAGTATCATAATATTTAATTAGCAAAAATTTATGATCAATATTTAATAATTATATTGCTCTATCTTGTTTAGATGTATATAATTTCTTATTATGTTTTCATTTGTTTTATAGCACATCGATGTGATTTTTTACTACCTTCGTAAAAAATCAAAACTCTTCAGCATGGATCAATACAGATACACAACAACCCACACAACTTGTTCATGTCACAGGTAAAAAATTGTTATGATAGGTAACAAATTAGGAATGTTTCATGTACTAATTTTATCAGCATGTAAATATATATAAATTCCAAACACTATCATACCTTTGTTGATCAGATCTCTTTACTTTGCAATTGAAGTTGTTCTTTATCTTATATTTCGTCATCACATCTGCAAGTGTTGCTTTATCCTTATATATCTGACCTATCTTCACCTATACACTTTCCGTATCGATTATAACATTTGTAACTCCAAATTCTGAATTTTCTTACGAATCAAATAAACTAGATTCAACCATTGTCAAAGCTTCTATATCCTATGTTGTGCCTTCTACACATGTAATTTCTCCACATGTTCCATCAAAGTTATGTACAGTACCATCAATCTGTTCAATTTTGTCAATACATAATAGATACATTGAAAATCCTGGCTCATTTTTTTCAGTTCTAAATATAGTTTAACGCCCATATCGTTCTTAACCTTCATTGGACAGGAGTTACCTTCTACAGTGTAATGAATTTTAATATCTTTCCTTGATATATCGATATCCAACTCGGCTGCAATTGCTGCTTTGAGATTCGAAAATGAAATTAAATCTCCAACAACAATTCCATCGATTTTGTAACTTTCATACTGCAATTCGCTCACCCAAATTCCTGAATGCCTTATCAAAATTGATGTATTCATCATGTATCATCCAAAATAACAGAAATCCAATTCGTATTTTTCGCCTTTTCAATAAATGTTCGTAAAATTGTCTTCAACCTAGATGATATAATCTTGAATTTTCAAAATTTGAAAGTGTGATTCAATTACGTGCTGAATTATTATTTCTTAATGTTTTGTTACCGTAACTTAAAGCTAAATTAAATAACAAACTTAAATGTTCCATTTTTTCTCCCTTTTTATCTCATTAGTTATTAAATTATTGTGCATCATTTACCATGTATCATAATGTACTATTGTATCACGTGACGCTATTTATAAGTATTTTTTGTAAATATTAAATTAGTCGAAACAGGTTGTAATTATTATGTTTCATTATGGAATTTCTTAAATTTTTACTAGAACAAATATTCAGTCGAATAAATAATTTGGGCCTTTGATTTCAATAAAATTAACATTGGATTGAGTCCAATTTGAATAAATACTTTATCAACTAAATATCGTTAAATTATAAAAATAAAATAACATATAAATTACTCTTACTCGATTATCAAATATCCCTTGCAAATTGCAATAATATATTAGTAAAATTTACTTTTAACAAAAATAAGAACCTATTTTTTATTTATAAATTGGGAAAGATAATCCACTCCGCAGCCTCAATTCTTGTCTCTTCACTCTACAGACCCTCCAAAACCCTTGTCATCCACCGCCGTTTACGGCGGCGTACTCCTTATTTCTCCGTCATCCCCGGCGAACCAGCAATGGCATCTACACCGGTGTCAGAACTCTCCGACGGACCAGTCCTGAGTGTGATCAACAAGCGTCTCCGTGCTCTTCGCAAGAAACACAGCCGCATTCTCCAAATGGAAGAATCCCGCACGAAAGGAAAAACTCTTAACAAGGAGCAAGAAGAAACTCTCCGCTCCAAATCCGCTGTTATTGCTGCCATTGATGAGCTCGAGAAGCTTCGTCAGCCACTAGCTGCTGCTGTGGTTGAAGAAATCAACCTCTCCACTGGACAACACCAAGTTTCTCCAGCAGAATCCGCCGTTAATATCTCTATTGATTCTACTGACAAGGGAGAACCTGCACGCGAGGGTGTTTTGGTGGTTGAGGATTTACTTAATCTATTGTACTTTGGTAGTATGTTTGATGTGAAGTCATTGCAGAGTGATTTTACACCTACGATGTTGACGAGGACTATGGAGAGAGCTTGTTGTTTGAGCTACGACTGTATGCCGGATGATGAATCAACGGACGTGATGGATCTGTTAGGGGAGAGAGATTTGGATTTGATTTCTATGCTTAGTGGGTTGCTTGTTTCACGGCCTGTTAACTCTCCCTTGTCACACAAGCACGCTCTTCAGAAATGTATTGAGCATGCAAAGCTATGGCTTTCGAAGTCCGAGCAGCCCATTGAACCCAATTCCGATGCTACTTGTGAGTATAATTTTCCTCCTTCTAAGAAAAAAGCTGTTTTTTTACTTTGCCAGGAGTTGAAATTGCATCTGTAAATAGTGTGCCCACTAGTTTGGATCGAGGTTTAGTTGTTTTCTTGGTCATTGTTATCAGGGCATTTACATTTTAAAGGATACAGAAGATTCATGTATCTAACCCTAACTAGGTTGTTATGAGGTTTAGCTGTTGTACAAAAAATTGCATTTTTAGCTAGATATGTCAAATTATTGGGGTCTGGGGTGATTATAGCTGGTTATGTCCCAAATTTGCAGATGCCGGGCTGAGATCAAAGCTCGATAAGATCATTGCTTCACTATATTTTACCACTGACCCTGTTAAAGTGGAGGCAGCTGCTGGTAAATATGGATCTTATTCGGTGCCAGTAGAAGAGCATCATGTGGAGGCTGTGCCTGTTGATGTACCCTTGCAGGTGGACACTCCAAGTGTGCAGTATGAGCAGAAGGTAAATGCTTACGTTAGTTACACGTCTATAGTCTATTTACTATATGTAAGGTCTGAAAACATAATCTATTTACTATATGTAAGGTCTGAAACCATATTGCAAACTTGTGTGAAATACTGAAATCTGATTGATTGTTGGATGCACTTGAATTTGCTTGTTTCTATATTTTTAGGCTGAATGGTAAGGTTTAACTTATTGATCAATCTTTTATGTCCTTGTTTGCAATTGCTGTATAGTTAATGTAATTGTTGAGGTAATGTTAAGGCCCAGTGAAGCTTCTACTTTGCTTCGCTTTGGTCCTTTGCTTTGGTTACCATATTATTTGTCGTTGCTATTGATCTTTCTTCATTATGTTCTACTTGGCTTTTTTACTACTGTATTTCCATTTCATATTGTTTTCAATTGCTTTACTTGAGCCGAGCGTCTCGGAAACAACCTCTTTACCCTCAAAAGGGATGAGTTAAGGCTACGTACACACCACCCTCTCCAGACTATTTGTTGTTGAAGCTTCTGCTTAAGTTGGTGTCTTAACTTGTAATTCACTTCTATCGTGGATCGCTTCTGCTTTTGAAGTACCATAGAAGTGAATTGCAAGGTAAGACACCAACTTAAGCAGAAGCTTCAACAACAAATAGTCTTGTAGTATTTTCCCGGTTTGGGTGTTTCACTGTTGATTCTGGTGTGAGGTAGTTGGAAGTGGACGTCGATCCACGATTAGAGAGGATACATGTTAAAGAAGCAACTTTAATTTCATTATCTAAATAAGAAGTGATTTTAACTTGCTATGCATGTCATTAAGAAATATATCCCTTGGTGCTTTTTAATTTTTTGGATAAGTAATTTTGAAAAAAAAAATTCGTAGGAATTCATCTAAGAGTATCATACTCCCCTTAAATTTGCTATTTCTACTGAAGAGTCTTTGGCGAAGTTCTTGGCTAGAACTTACTGTCTTCTGGAACATAAATAAAAATGCTAATATTTCTACAACACAAAGTATTCTATGCAGTCTAGGAAGTTCTCAATATTAGAATAGGAGATGGCTACAAGATTCTTCTTTGCAATTCACTTGTGATTTTATCAAGACTGATGTAGCCTTGTTAGCGACTTAGAATATGCCTTTTTTCAATGTGTTGGTTCTAAAGTGAATGACTTACAATTTTCCTTTGTTCCAGTTCCATATCATTTTGTTCTTGTGATGCACTTAAGTGTTCAGCCGATGCGCTTTCTGGCACCCCGATGACCCAACCTTAACCAGAGTAGGCTTGTAGTAAATTGTTGGAAATGAGAAAAAATTGAGTTTGAGAGGTTGGTACTTGTTAGTGTTTCATTATATATTTGAAAAAATCCCTGAAGGTGAAGTCCACTGGGGTCCACGGCTGTGTGTGTGTGTGTGTGTAGGGTTAGAAGGATTGAGGTTCACATTGTTAGGCTATCCAACAGATAAGTAACGACAAACCTTATGACCTGGCTGCGTGGATAAATTTCAGCAAAATGTTTATATCTAAATGTAAATCCAAAGATAAGAAAGTCAATGGCACAATGTAGTGCTAATAATAGTTCCAATACCTACTAATGATATTTGAGGGTGGACTGGGGTTCCTTTTGAAAAGGAGGAGCAGAAGAGCCAGTCACTGGATACTCAGTTGGTAAATTCCTGGCATCTGTCTTTGTTCTTCGTGATGAATTCTCTATGCAATGTGCATATGAGAATGCTTAATCTGCATTTTGTGTTCTGAACAATGTCTTTTCTTTGAAATTGTCGAATAAGACTTCCATTTAATTGAAAATAGAGTGTTTCTGTGGATTTCCGATTTACCTGGTATATTAGCTTCATCAAAAGAAGACTGTATTTTTGCCTTTTACTTTATACATTTCATTTAGAAGTGGTAGTAACCCAAGTCTTTTTTCGGAGGCCCATTGGGGCTTGTTGAAACTTTCCATTTTTGGTTATAAGGAAGTGTGCCATAGTATTATGGTGGAATGGGGTAAGAAGAGTAACCTTTGCTAGTTCCTATGATTTTTTATGCTTAGGATTGCGCGGGAACTAAAATGAGATTTGTGTTTTTCAACTTGCAAAAGACCAAAACCTAAAACGATTGTTGAAAGTGGTTGATCTTGGAGTCGTGCATGAAATGATTGATGAAAGTAGTTGATCTTAGAGTTTAACTAGGTGATCAGATGAAGTATCAATGGATAATCTGATAGGCATGAAAAATGCCATTACACTTAGATGTTGATACAACACTTCCCAAATTATAGAAAATGACATAGTTTAGTGGAAGTAAACGGTCCATATAGACTACAACTGGTTAAGATGATGCTTAGTTGTTGGATAATTACGTTGGCACAGGTCTACATTTCTTTTCATCTAGTTAGAGACTTATAGGGGAGGAATTGCATCTGAAACTTAGAGCAGCTTCAGTTTTAGACTTGTTAAGTATTGAAATGAAATGTTCTCTAAAAGAGTGGATTGGATGGAGAGGATTCATTCAATAAACCAAGTAGTTTTAGATTGAGGCATAGTTGGTTGATTGATAGATATTGCTAATGAGTCGAATTTGAAGAGGTTTGAAAACCTGATAAAAAAGTGGACTTGCATATTTGTCTTTATGCCCTGCTTCTTCGAGTTTGAAAGGTTTTTTCGAAGACCCAGCTACAAGTAGGTCAGAGTATGAGCATAATTTTATGGAAGAACTTATTAGCATCCTCTTTGCTTCAAGTCTGAAAACTATTTGCGCAGGTCCAGCTACATACTGGTTGGTGAGAGCAAGAATTTTGGAAAAAGAACTTTTAACCGTGGGTTCTGTGATTCATTCAATCTTTCCTCACCTTTCTTAATTTCTGTCTATGTATTCTTTCTTACACTCTTTTGGCAACCTAAGCTTGCTTTTGGCATCCAGTAGAACTAGAAAATTTAACCTATGTAAAGGAAGCATTTTATTCTCACGACTCTTTTATCCTTAATTTATAGCGGTAGTAAATTTAATTTACAGTAGTTTAAAATTAAATATGAGAACCCTTCCCCATCTACGTGTGTTTCAGTGTAGTCACTGCTTTTGGAATTGGAAGTGTGTAACCTGTTTTCTCATTAGACTATGTGCTTCAAATTTACTAGTCTTTGGAAAGGGCTATCCTTGTGTGCATTTACATGGTCAAAAATGCATCGAAGTTTGTCTGTGCTCTTCTCTGTCCAGTCTTATATCATTGTTGTTTAGTGAACCATACAGTAACTTTCCTTCATATTATCATTAAGCTGTGAACATATCTTTTTTTTTCAGGAAGAAGCTGTAAGTTCTCAAGCAATTGAAACTAATGACAATCACATCAGCAATAATATCGAACTGCAGCAGGTATTCTTGTCCTTCCTTAGAACTTTCTATAGTTTAGTGATTGCATCCACTGTATATAACATTATGTCTATACACTTTGCAGGGTGGACAGGATATCAATCAACCTGCTGAACCAGAAGAAGTCGTGTTTGAGGTTGAAGGCGTTGACAATATGAAGGATGCAGATTTCAATGAGCAACAATCTGTTCCCCGGAGATCTTACCAGAATCAGAATTACAGGGGTAACCGTGGTGGGAGTGTGGGTGACCGTCGTGGATATTCCAATGGTCGTGGAGGACGTGGCAGAGGAGGGTCCTATCAGAATGGTCGCAACCAATACTATGACCAATCTGGTAATTATCAACAGAGGAACTACAATAACTATAGGGGAAGAGGTGGCAGGGGTACAGGTGGTGGCGGAGGTTATAATCATTACACTTCAGGCGATCAAGCTGGCAGTTACTCTGCTGATTTAAGGTGATTATAGATCCTTTGCTAGTTTCATCAAGGTGTTTTCCCTATCACATTGGATGACGCACGCAAGTGTTTTCTACTTGCTCGTGCATCATCTCGGAGACTAATTTTAAGTTGAAAGAATTGGGGTTATTGTCAATTTGAGATAGAAGAGAACCGTAGTAGCCTTTTTCAGATAGCGTTTACCTGCAGATCGTATTCACTTTTTTTTTTCGTTTCGCTCTAAACGTTCTTAACACTTGCTAGTTTTATATTGCGTCTGCAGATATGAAATGTGAAAGGTTCGATTTGTATCAATGCCTACTTCAGACAGGAGGTGATAATTATATAACACTTGTTTTTGCCTTGCCAATTCTTCAACTTTCAGCTTCAGTGACAATAATCAGTTTCTCAACGATATTAATAAGGTTAAAGTTCGATTACACCTCCAGATGAAAGTAAATGCAACGACTCAAAAGGTAAAAGCCTAAATCAAAATGCAGAAATATTGAAAGTAAGAAGTAGGATCGATTGAAGAAGGAGATGATGAATTAGAGTTTACATTTAGAAAAGAGAATGACCTGGGAGACCCTTGTACTTGGGCTGCATTGGTCATCGAGTGGAAAACCCTAGAAGTAATGCGGGGATAAGATATTTTTCAAATTTTTTGTAGGACAAAAAGTTTGACATTTATGCAATTCATTCCAAGGCAATCAAAAGGAAGTGCTAAACTTCAATAATAAATAATTTACAATCAAAACTATAGCTGCAAAAATGAATCAATTCAAGAAATTAAACAATCCCCCCACCCCACAACCCAATGGGAAAATTAAAAGAATTCACAAACCAAAGATGTCTATATATATGCATGCTTTATAAGTATAGGTTGTCCAATATGCTTTATGATATCAGGACCTCCCCGAGATGGCCTTGTGATCAACTTCTATTCTGCTTGTTGGAGGACTCGTTGTAATATCAACTCACTCAATATTGAAACACTAAGACATATGTAGGCACACTTTGATGTATAATGCAATCAAATTTGCTCTACATTGACATCCTTGCATTTGCAAAATCTCCAGCTAATAGTAGATACACGAAAACAACAAGTTTAGAGACATGTAAAAAAAGATCAATATCAGCAAACTTTATGCTAAAAACCACCTAGATTATAAAGTAAACAGAAGGAAGAAGACTCGTCAAGATAAAGTGACAGAGCAAAACATGTACCATGAAACTCGATCTTGATGCTACCATATGACAACGTATCGTTGCATAATAGTTTAAACTTAGCAATACGCGTAACTATGACCTCATTGACTCTTGTAACATCTGTGTGACAACAGAAGGCACATTGACATATAACACACTTACACATTGACAACGTATCGTTGCATCATAGTCCAAAGAAGTCAAGAAGCTCGAACAGCTAGCTAAATGGTAAGACACAGCTACGAAGATAATACTCATCGTTCAATATCACTTAACAAAACAGAACCAATTCAAGACGAGTAAGAAATCTCACCTTTAGATGAGGCCGGATGGCACAACAACGACATCCATATTTGCGTTGTTGGGAGGAAGCTGCAAACGAAGAGGGTAAAGTTTCCCATTCAAAGGACTCTTTGTACACACAGTAATGTCCTCGAGTCCAGTTTCTTCTTCCAACGTCTTCGTCAGCTCCTCAACACTATTTCCCTTAAAAGGAATACATAAACCTTCTACTCCATCATTGATTTCTCCATATTCATTAGCAATGTGATAATAAATCAGCCTCCCGTCTCCAAACTTCATTAACGAACTAGCCATAAACTCATTCGACTGCCAAAAAAACAACGGAGGATTCAATACCCTTACAAAATAGACAACTCCAACACAAGTTGTGCAAATGAAACAAAAACACCAACAATTGGAACCTCCGTGCTATGTCATGCTTTAACAACATAAGATTCTAAAGTCTTTCATTTCTATCTTAATCACTGTGCAGATTCAAACTACCTCACATAAGTTTGACTAAATCAACTTATTTTCTGAAAAGTTGATATTCAGATTTACAAGAAAATTCTTAGAAGCTGTAAGTTTCCTCTTATCAATAGGTTGACAAAAACACCATAAATTTGGAACTCTGTGCTACGCCACGTTGAAGACCACAAATTTCAAACCAAGGTGACATTATTGACTTCTTTTTTTCATTAGAATAGTTTAATCTCCTTGGTGTGATAAAATAAAAACTAATTGACCATCCACGAAATTACCTCACACTTTTCGCTTATCAAGAGTTAATTTGACTTGGTTTTCAGAATTAAATTGGACTAAATCAATTCATATTTTAAAAAATGACATTCAGATTCACCAAGAAACTTCCTCAAAGCTGTAAGTTTCCTCTTTTCAATATGTTGACAAAAAACACCAACAATCGTAACTCCACGCTATGTCATGTTTAAGATCACAAAGATTCAAAAATGATAAAAAGGGTAGCCCTGTGCACCAATCTCCCACTATACACGGGGTCCAAGGAATGATAGGATCTATTGTATGTAGCCTTACCCTACATTTGTATCCACTGCACAAACCCGTGACCTCTTAATCATATAACACCAACTGTACCAGTTACACCAAAACTCCCTTTGTAAAAAGGGCAGCCCCGTGCACCAATCTCCCACTATACACGGGGTCCAAGGAATGACAGGATCACATGGATCTATTGTATGCAACCTTACCTTACATTTCTGCAAGAGACTATTTCCATTAATCAAACCCGTGACACCTCTTAGTCATGTAAAAACAACTTTACCAGTTACGTCAGAACTCTCCTCTCCGTCACATAAATTGGTACAAAAAGAATAACAAACCACAATCAGCATAACACCAAAGAAAAACACATACCTCTTGTCTAGAAAAGCTTTGTGCTGATGCAGAGTAAAGAGTAGATGAAGGTGAAGTAGATTCAGAACCCCAATTAGTCTCTTCTTCTTGATCATGATAAACCAAAGGTGGAGGTTCTTTAGGAACTGGTGAATGAACCAAGATTTCAACAACATCAACATCCCACAAAACCCAATCTTGTGTTGAAGTTCTATGTGGGATATTATGTGTTACTGAGTTCCTCCATGGTGGAATACTATCATTAGCCCTCAAAAATTGACCTTTTCTTGTCCTAAGCTTCACTTGGTTCCCTTCTCTAATGGGTTCCCATTCTACTGAAGAATCAAGCCTTTGTGGCAGAGTTTGTAGAACCTTCCTCCCTGTCATACCTGTGTCAGGATCGAAATAACAGAGCGTCATGCGAAAGCTAATAATTATAAAAATTTAAATTCATTTTCATGATCAAATACAATTGCCAACAAAAATTGGTTCAATATATTTAAATTTCATAATGAAACATGGTCAAATGCTTACTAAACTACTCACGGAATTTAAAAACAACTCTAATTTATATTCATGACTAAATTTAACTTCAATTTTTAAATATCATTTTTCATTTTGACAATAAAAATTATTTTTTAAAAAAAAAAATACGATAAAACATGACCAAAAATACATTAAATCACTCATAAAAATTCAAAAAAAAAAAACTCCAATTTATATTCATGATCAAATACAGTTCCACTTTCTAAATATCATAAAACCTTTTTTTTTTTAAATACTCTCAAGGACTGAAAAGTCCCTTTTTGTAAACAAAAAATAATTTACATTGTGCTCCTTTCCTACCACCAAATTTCGAGATTCAAATAAATTTAATTTTTAAAAAAATTCTCGATCAAATTTTTACTATTTTACTCTTACAAAACGAAAAAAGTCACATAAATTAAAATAGAAAGTGTTAAATTAAGAAAAAATCAGGGCAAAACCGTAACAAATACCTAATAAAAATCTCTGATTTGAAGCAGTAAGATACTTGTTATAACAGCTTTTGAGTCTAATGGTATTGAATTTTTCAGCATTATTTACGAATTCAACAGTCCAAGTTGCATTTTTTGAAGCTCCATCACGATCTTGAATCACTGTTTCTTCATCTTCCTCTGCTGTTAAATATTTTTCATGATAACTTCTTAGCCTTACTGCTTTTGCTTTGTAAAATAGATCCATTTCTTCTGGTTTCTTCTTCAAACAACTCTGTAAAAAATTGGAAAATTTCAAAAAATAATATTAATGTTTTGATTGGAGAGTTGAAAGAAAAAGAAATGGCAAATGGGTTGATGTTAGTTTTGTTTTTGGTTGTAGAGTAGGTAGTATTTATAGAGCAAGTGGAAAAGGATTGGAAGAAAAAGGACAAAATGGTCCTCTATGTTTCAAGGTGGAATAATTTTAATTCTTTAAATTTATTAAAGATTAATGATCTCTGCTTTTTTTTTTAAAAAAAATAAATTCTTAAGTGATATTCTTTTTTTAATTTGTTATAATTGGAAAAAAATTAACATCAAAATTTTCTCTTTATGTTTAATATAATGATTTTATAGGCACATAAATATCGAAGAATTATTTTTATCACAAATTTAAAAGTTTCTCTTTTTTTTCTTCCTAAAACATCTTACTAAGTCAAATCGTATAACATAAGAAAAAGACCGATAAAGTAATTTATTTTATTTTTTAGAACATAGAATAACCCACAAATGCTACAACCTCTGTCCTTCGGGGTGAGGATTGTGGTGAGCATTTTGTGCGCACTGGTCAAACCCCACTGTATAATAGGTCTGCAAACCACACAGAAAATGTAAACTGCATAGGCCAAATCCTATGCGACAGGCTCGATTCAGAAGGCATTGAGGGAGATCAATCTCTGATCATCTGTGTGGATAACCACCCTCCAAACCAACCGAGTTATCCCGAAGAACAAGTAGTAGTATATTTTAGTCATCACCATAAAATTAAAAAAGTTCCATCAAATTCTAAAATATGCAAAAATACCTTTAAAATATATATAAATTTTTACTGATTTACTCTTTTTATTAACATAGATCAATCAAATTTTGTAAAGTTCTGAAATATTTAATACAAATTATTTAATTAATAAATTCAAGGACTAAAGTTTTTAATTCATACTTAAAGAATTATTTTGAGTGTAACTCAAACTTAAAAGGGCTATTTTTGTCATTTTGATTGATTGGTGTTTGAATAATTCAAGGGAATTGAAATAATTGGCAATTGGCAGACGGCGCCAACCATTAGATTGTAACTTAAGCATGTGCCACACGGATTCATATAATACACTCTTTAACATACTCATAGCAATAATAATTAAATAAGCGATCGTTTAATTAGAAATAAATTATCATGAAATTAATTATTTTGAGATAAATATTATATTATACATATATAAAAAACATATTTTATTATTAAGGTGTAAATATTGAGGTAAATAATCTCACGATTTAATACCAATATGCTGAACAAAATAGTTTTTTATTTTATCTCGAGATTATTATATTTAATTTTTTTTATTGCTGTCATTTTGTTATGACTGGTAAAAATGGGACCCGATTAAGTTTACTGAAATAATTGGAAGTTTATTAAATTTAAATATTTTATACTCTACTACATAGGAATCCAATAAAAAGTTTTTTTTTTTTAATGTTTAGCTAGTATATTAATTGGAAATCAATTATACATCAGGGTGCCCACAAATTATTAGGGTTTGATAGCTGGCTAAGAATTTTAAGATACTTGGTCATTTAACAAATTAAAAAAGATTTATTATTTTTTAATATTATTTAAAGAATTATATAAAATAAATTTAGAAAATTTAACTATTTTTAAAAATCTCAAAATAATATGGGAGTAATTAACATTTAACAATGTAAAGGATAAGATCTTAGCAGGCACCTGACTCAGAGTCAAAGGTTTGACTCATGCAAATGGTCAATTCTGTACTCTATAAATATATACAAATTGTGGTCTACCAAAGACCTATTATTTACACGTAAAAATAATTTTATAGTAATTATTATATTGAAAAAACATGCCTCGTGTAATTTCTTGTTGATTTCCTACTTTTTTATTTAGAAATATATGCAAGTAAAAAAGTGAGGTAACTAGAAAGATTAGTTTTTCCAGAGGCGGATTTAGGTGGGATTTTATGGTTTGAACGAATCTATTAGCTTTTTATATAAGAAAATTAAATAAAATATATATGTATAATGGTTTGTGAATCCCCTAACAATTGATTGATAACTCAGTGGTAAAAAAGGAATGATCTAAATATTTTTCATATCGTATTTTGTTCTAAGATTTGAAACCCTAAGCTTTTAATCTTGGCTTTGTATCTGAGTCTTCGATGTAAGAAGCAATAGTTTCAGTTGCTTCACCGGTCTATATATATATATATATATATATATATATATATATATTTTAATTTATTTTATCTTAATTAATTCAATATGTATCATATGAATAGAATAGGAAAATAATCATAGTTTAATATTATAGATTAGGCTTCTATTGAATTTTTTTTTTGACTTTGGTATCCATAAAAGTAGAGGAACTAAAAGAGGATTAAGCTTCTATTAAAAAAAATTGGCCTTGGTGTCTATAAAATGGGTATAAATGTATCATAGATTAATATAGGAGTATTAATTTATCACGGGTTCAATTTTACATTAATATGTAAAAATTATTTACATACTTAGAAAATTTATAAGTTATGATAAATGAATATTCATGATGGTTTATAGGCATTAAATTGTAAGATGATAATAATAATTAATTAATTATTATAAGGTAATAAATCTATATATATATGCATGTTGACGATACAAAATATTTTCACACTAGTAATTTATATAATTTAATTGTTCTCACGAGTATATTCTTGTTATTGAAATATAATCCCTAACTTATTACTTCCTCTATCAGATTTTTAGTTTTCATATTGTGATTTTTGAAAGTCAGTTTAACTAACGTTTAAAGTCAACTTAGATTATAGTAATTTGATATTTTAAACAAAAAAAGAAGTAGATATTCAAAAATTATACGAAAGATATATAAATTCTAAGTTTTACGTATCTGATAAAAAAAATGTATCGTAAATTTTTTATAGTTTGGACTCTAAAAAAAATTATGACAACTAAGAGTATTAAATAAATTCCACCCTTGAAGAATTATCATAGTTTACCTCAATTTAGTCCTAGCTTTGTTGCTAGTTATTGAATACTGTTGGACATTAAAATAGCATATAAGGAGTGTAGGGGAATTAATGAATAATATGTTACTTTTAATTAAAAGTTTCGAGTTTTAATATTAAAAATAAAAGTTTGTTAATTTGTTATTCGCCTTACATCGTTAGCGTAAATTTAAATTAATCTAACTAACAACTTTTGAATATATTCCTCTTTAATCATGTTGTGTACGTGTGTAAACCACATATAATTTACCTTCTTAAGTACAACCAATCTAACAAAAAGAAAGAGTACAATTTTCATCAATAACTTGCGTATTGTTTAAAACTTTTTCCTATAAAGTAATTGAAATAACATGTGATTATTGGTTACAAAAATCGAAGAAAAATGAGAAACCGTTAAGTTATTTTTAGATCAAAGTAGTGATCTTGACGTAATTCTAACTCTCTCTCTCTCTATATATTTATAGTATTTTCATATTTTCTTATATTACGTCCACGTTTTCATTGATTATTCATTATGATGCCTTGTCACGTTGGCAAAGAAAAAAGTCTTTTCTATTTTTTCTAATTACTTGCTTCCTAAGTAGGAAATAAAAAAGACATTAATAATACTTTCCTACTATGGTCATAATTTATGATAAGATTATATTTTACTTTAATTTTTTTTTTACATTACTACTAATATTGACTTTTCGTGTATTTTTGTTAAAGTCGTTAATAAGGGTTAGGTTTGGTGGGTCGATCTAGTCTAATCTGAAATTTAATAGGGGTGGACTGAGATTTTTGGAGCTCAGTTAAAATAGGGTTTTTTAATTTAAAAATATAATATAATATTAAAATTTAAAATTAAAGAAAGTCCAAACTTAAAACAATTAGGTTAATATTTCTATTTAGATATTTAACTTTTACTAGGAAAAAAACTTAATAAATATTATAAAAAAAAATTATTTGTGGATTGGATTAACAAGTAGTAACATTAACATGATATAATATTGTTTTGTCGATATTTATGATAATATTTTTACTATTAAAAAAAATATAATTTTTAAAAAAGTGGATTGGTCAGGACCAGCCTATAGCCCACGTACATGTGGGTTGGACCGATTGTTTTCTGGCCCCACACAAAAAATAGGCTAGCCCGACCTGACCTGTAAAATGTCAAAACATAGATTAGCCCGGATGGGGTGGGCTAACCCATATTGACAACTCTAATTTTCGTATTCTTAAATATATTGAGACAGAAAAAATAATAAGTTGACGTGATTAAAAAACATACCATAGATATTTTAGGTGAAGATGAAAAACTTGAACGTATCGACATAGCCCGAGATCTCATTTCCAAGCCGAAAACTTCATCGGAAATCGATAAAACGCTCGATACTGATGAATAACCTATCCTCGATATTTCGTTTCCCGATACATCGACTATTTCCACGTTCCACAAAATCCAATTATGTGTGGAACCGGTGTACGGACTATCATGTGTAACCGAATTCGTCCACGGTGGCATACCTCCATTCGCCCGTAAAAAGGTCCCACCAAAAGCCTTTAACTTTACTTGAAATCCGTCTCTTATTGGTTCCCATTCGATTCTCAAATCATTATTACTATAGTTTTGAATCACTTTATTACCTGTCATGCCAAGTAAAAATGGTTCTTCAGAAGCCATGAGGTATTTGCCACTATAACAACTCTTGAGTCGAATAAGGTGGCTAGTTCCGCTAACAAGCTCAACTAGCCACCACGATTTTCGACTCGACGAGTCGTTGTGCCGGCTTTGACAGGCGGTTTCTTGATCATCGTCGGCTACTAAGTACTTATCTATATGGCTCTTGAGTGTTACAACCTTGGCTTTGTGGAATATGTCCATATATTAGATAATTATAAGGGGAAAGATTGTATTTGTTTGATAGTTTCTTGTATTGTTGCTAAAGTGATTATTAGATCGATGTATAGAAAAGAAGATGATATATGTTGTTGAAATTTTGAAAAAAATGTGTTTAAAAATTACAACTTGTGGGGGCATGATGTTATATTATATATGTATATAATATATTTGTGGATATTATAGTATATAGTACTAGTAATTTGGTTTGGTGTTTGTTATTCCATCCGTTGAACGGTTTATGAGGTATTATTTTTTTATTATATTGTTTAAAATATATATATATATATATATTTATATTCAGAAATAGTTATTTATAGTAATCAACAAGTAAAATTTCCCTTGTCTTTTTATTTTCTAAATTTGTTGAACAATTTTATAATTTTAAAAGTACTATGACATATTTAAGATTATATATTCTAACTTTTTATTTAATTTTATGCCGATTTAAATTGTATCATATAAAGGGAAATGTAGTATTTGATATTTAAATCACAGGTTATTAATTGTGTGGGCTCCAAAAGGATAGGAAATTGTGTTGTTATGAAATATAAAACCGATGTAGACTTATTCTAGCTACTATTTTTAATTTTTATTAGTGATTGAAATTAGGAAGAATATAGAAGAAGAATTATTCAATTGGTTAATGAAGAAATTTCTAGGAAGCTATAGTTGTGAGTGTGAAACCTATTTGAGTTATAAAGACATAAAATTGACTTAAATAAGTTATTTAGTTTTAGAATGTAACTTAATTCTTTTTACTATTAGAAATAAAGATTTTATTTTATTGTAATTTGTGAAAAATCAAGTTGAAAAATAAGATTTTCTTCAAACATAATTTTTTTATCAATACAGTTCACTGAAAAAATCATGTTCACTGAGAAAATGAATGGTGGATTCAAATTGAAATAGTGGAACACTTTCTAATTATTTTTTTTTGTATGAAAACATTACTTATTTTTTTCATGGATTTTAGCCAAACATCTATGAAAATCGCCAATATAAATTTTTAATGACATATTTTATTATCGTCCATCTTAATTTACGTGATGTTCACAAGAAAAGTGTATCATACATCTTTATTTTTAAAAAAATTAGAATAAGAAGCAACCGAGGTAGACTTATTCGGATCCGACTTATTCTAGCTGCTATTTTTAATTTTTATTAGTCATTAAAATTAGGAAGAATAAAGAAGAAGAATTATTGAATTGGTTAATGAAGAAATTTGTTGTTAGTGTGACACCTATTTGAGTTATAAAGACATGAAATTGACATAAATAAGTTAATAGTTTAGTTTTGAATGGAACTTAATTCTTTTCACTATTAGAAATAAATATAATTGTAATTTGTGAAAAAAAATTATATTGTAAAATAAGATTGTTTCAAATATAAAATTTTTCATCAAATCAACTCATCGAAAAAATACATGATAGAATAGTGGAACACTTATTAACTTTTTCATATGAATACATTACCTATTTTCTTGAGTGATTTAGCCAAATATCTATGAGAATAATGACCATTGTAAATTTTTAATGGTATATTTTATCATCGTTCATCTTAATTTATGTGATATTCACAACCTTAAATTCCTTCTTAATATATCTGAATAATGTATCATATATCTTTATTCTTTTTAATTAGAAAGGAGCCCTAATAAGAAATAGTTTAACTTTAAAAAAAGTTTTTTCTCTCCTAATAAAATGATTTACAACTACATAAATATCTAAGTTTTATTTGAGATCATAAATTTTAAAAATTATTATCTTTTTCAAATAAATAATAAGATACAAAATTGAAAATGACCAATAATACAAAAATTGATGATGTGATTGCACTTAACGCGTTCAATGTTGCCTCAAAATAGTCCCCATCATTATCAATATATAGTAGCTTTTATCACAAGATAGTTACTAAGTATTTTCTTTGTGTGCGCAATGTATTTGTAGTCGAATAGTTGGACTAAAGTTGCTTACAAATAGTCCTCTTAGTTGTTCTTGTTGGGTTTTAGCAAGTGTGAATGGAAAAAGAAAAGAGAGAATATCAAAAGTGAGGGAATTACTTTGGAGAGAAAATGAAAAGTCATTTGTAAAGTGCAAATGAAAAGTCATTTTTTTGGATTTGGATTTGGATTTGGCAAATGATATGATTGATTGATAATTTTTTTGGACAAAATTTATTTAATCAATTTTTGTTAAATCAAATAAATCCTGTTAATATTATCTCTTATAAATTTGCGGGTAACAGTAACATTCCGAAAAGTCGTTACTTTCCAAAAAATAGTTATTTTCCTAACCGACACAATTTTTAAAAAAAGTTGTTATTTTTTCCAAAAGACACAACTTTTTGGATAAAATGGGTCTGAACAGATTTCACTGAACAGACATGTTTCTTGCTGAAAATGGCTATAAAAGGAAGTCAATTTTTGATTTTTTAATCACTAAAATTTTTTTCTTTCTCTGCATTTATTTTTCTCTCAAATAAAATCAAAGTGTCGATCGACTGAATCTGTGTGACTTGTTGCTGTTCTTAAGTTCGTTGAAGTTAAAGAAGTTTGAGGTACCGCTATTTCTTTAACAGGTTTAATCCGTTTTATCTTGGGAGAAATTAATCCATAACCTTGGGTACAGTGAGGGGATTAAATTTCTTAAGGACACACAGTAATTTCTGTGGACTCGGATTAATTCTTGTATTCTATATTATTTTCTGCTTCATCTTATTTCTATTTCTGTTTCTGTTTATTAACTTTATAAATACAAGTTATTGTAAGAACAACAGTTCCTTTTTTAAGGAGAAAAAAAGTATGAAGTATATCTGAATTTTAATTAAAATTCTAATAAGGGGAAATGTATAAATACTCTCTCAATCTATATTCGAATTTCATAGACACACTTATATTATACTAAGGTCTTATTACCCTCTTGAACTTATTTTATAAGTAATTTTCTATCCCTTTTCGGTCTATGTGGCACTAGCTTGAAAAAAAAAAGTCAATCAGCGTTGGATCCACAAGATAGTGCCACGTAGGCCGAAAAGGGATAGAAAATGATTAATAAAATAAGGTCAGGGGTAATAGAACCTTAATATAGTATAAGTGTGTCTCTGAGATTTCAGGTATAGGTTGAGGGGGTACTTATAGCATTATCCCTTGTAATAATATTGGACGGATCCGGCTCCTTCTTCTCTCCATTTTCCCCAAGTTCCTATTTGGATTAATGACACATGTCATAGGTTAAAATAAATGGTTAAGATTTAATTTTTCAAAGTGAACCTCTAACCATTATTTAGTTAATAAATATATTATATATCAAGTATCAAAATTATTATAATCTCACAATCTTAGCAACATATTATTTTGTCCATATTATTTATGTAAAAAAGTTTTCTTCCTATTTTTTTTTTTACATAGGATCTTTTTTTTTCTTTTATATAATATTTTTATTGTAATCTTTTGTTAAAGGTATATTGGTCCGTAATTAATAAATTACCTAGAGATAATCAAACCATTTTGACAAACTAATTTTAAATTCATAATAAGATTAAGAATACGGTGCTACCAATACATACGGTAGGTTAATTATAATTTCCATACTTCTATTCAGTTAATTATTCTTCTAATTAGATAAAAAAATTATATAAAAGAAATATAAAAGAAAAAGATCCTACGTAAAAAGAAATAATAGGAAGAAAACTTTTTTTACCTATATTTATGGACAAAATAATATGTTGTTAAGATTGTGAGATTGTAATAATTTTGATACTTGATATATAATATATTTATTACCTAAATCATGGTTAGAGATTTATTTTGAAAAATTAAATCTAACCATTTATTTTAACTTATGACATGTGCCATTAATCCAAATAGGAACTTGGGGAAAATGGAGAGAAGAGAAATGGAGAGGAGCCGGATCCACACTGGACTTTTAAAAGAATCTTTAATTTCTGTACTATTTAATATTGTAGTGTATTTTAAAGCTATATATGTGCGCACACGGACATTATAAATATTTCATCATTATAACTAGTAATGCGTCCATATGTGGGCATATATATACCTTTAATATACACTACATTATTAAATAGTACAGAGGTAAAAGGCCCACCATAAAATTTGATATTATAACAATCATTTCGGTCAAAATTAAAATATTTTTCAGACTCTTTTTCCCTTTTTAAATCATAGTTGAATTTTATAGTTTTGTTCAACTATTTTATTTTGTCAAACCTTAAGATACTCCTTCAATTTCTTTTACTATGATACTCGCTCGTTTTAAAATAAGTGATATTTTTATTTTATAATAAAATAAATGATGTTTAAAAAGTAAAAAGTCGTTGAATTTCTCTTTTACTTTTGCCCTTATTTAAATAAATAAAATTTTACATAATTTAAAAATATTTAAAAAGTTAATTTCTTTTTAAGAATATTTGCTTAAGGGTAAATTAATAAAATTATCAATTTTCTAGAAACGAATAATTTTCTTTAATAATATGTCCAAGCTAAAACATCTCAGTTGACAAATTCTTTTCTAGTAATTTTAAAGGAAAATTCACTCTAATTAATCTTTTACTTTTCCACATGTATTTTCCAGACAGAATCGAAGTCTTGGTTACTTGTACTCAAGGTGTTCAGTTGGACATGTGTCGTCGGAAAAAAAATATTATATTTACAAATTAAATAATATATAAAGTGACTAAATAATATATTTTGAACATTTTTTATATAACAAGTTGTTGTATTCCAGTAATTTTAGACGACTTGAATTAGCCAATCCTCTTGTATTAGAATCTTATTAGCAGTACAATGTGAGTGTAATTGTAACGACCTGTTTAGTCGTTTTGAGCAACAGATTTTATTTCTGGAAAAACAGGCTGAGGCGACGGACCCCACGACGGACCGTCATGGCACGACGGACCGTCGCAGGGTCTCGTTTCAAAACACTTAGAAAAACTGAAAATTGGGTACTGAAATCGACTCTCTGAACTTCGTAACGGAATGGCAGGACGGACCGTCACAGATTCTTCAGAGAAATTGAGTCTCTGAACTCTGTGACGGGCAGCAGGACGGACCGTCGCAGGCGCGACGGGCCGTCACAGACTGCGAAATCCTAGTCTGGGTCGGATTTCTTGATACGTTTTAAGGGACGTTTTTGACTATTCTTGCCTTAATTATAAAGTTAGTGGGTTAATGTTAATAAGTCTAATTACTT